GGATTCATTTTTTTTTTTTTTTTTTTTTGAGTTGGAGTCTCACTCTGTCGCCCAGCCTTGACCTGCTGGGCTCCAGCGATCCTTCCTCCTCAGCCTTCCAATAGCTGGAACTACAGGCATGCGCTACCACGCCTGGCTAATTTTTTTTTTGATTTATTGTAGAGATGAAGTCTCACCAAGTTGCCCAGGCAGGTCTCGAACCCGCGGGCTCAGGCAGTCCACTCACCTCAACCTCCCAAAGGCGCGAGATTATAAGCTGAGCCATCGAGCCCGACTTCATCTATTAATTTTAAGTCTTAACAAAGTAAAGCAGTTTTTGCTGTAGTCAATTTTGTATTTCTCTGCTGAGTCTATTTTTTTCTGACCAACTTTGCTGGGTTTTTTTTTGTTGTCCTAAGATATCTTTAATCATCTTTTCTCTAGAACTAATCTTCTTGTGTACAATTTTAACAATTATTAGTTTTATTTTGTGGTATTTACTATGTTTTACTAGTGATACTTGTGAATTTGATAAAAGATAGGTAATTTTCATTTCATTCTAGCAAATTTGTGATGAAATTGTGGCCAATTAACTTTAGAATTCTGAAGAATTGCTCTGTTGTCCAGGATTGGTCTAATGTATTATTAATATAATTCTTTTATGTTTTTCTAGTTATTTATTATCACATCCACACTATTGGCATAGCAAATAGCAAATGGTGGGGTCGGATGTTTTTGTTAGTTCCAAGATTACTGTATTCTAAAGTGACATTTTAATTTCATGTTTGAATGCGTAATACAGTTCACTTGGTTTACAGTCCAAAAGATGAAAATAGTATACCTTGAAAGCTCTGTCATTTTTATGCTTCAACATTGGTCTCCTTTTCAAAGGTTACTTGTGTTAATAATTTGTGTGTTCTCCCAGAAATTTTTTGGCTTGCTTTAACAAATAGGGGAGAGAGAGAAAGCTGTGTATATGTGTGTGTGTGTGTGTGTGTGTGTGTGTGTGTGTGTGTGTGTGTGTGTGTGTGTGTTTTCTTCTTCTTTTATGTAGTTATTAGCATACTAAACCCATTTTGTACCTTGGTTTTTTGTTTTTAAAGGAGACTTAGGAAGTATTCTATTACTCTGCTTTAAAAATTTGAACTGATGAACACAAATGATGTTTATGTGATTCTTTCTTGTACTATGTTTAGTTGTTTGCATATTTTTTTCTTAATGTAAATGCCTATGAAGGTAAAGATCCTATCTTGGTTATCCTTACTTTATCACAGAGTCTAGTACAGTGTTGTGGACATAAGTAAATGTATAGTACATTTTTTATTTTATTCAATAAATTTAACCAGTAGAAAAAAGTAGAAAAGAAATGGAAGTAAAAACTTGAGGGCAGAAGGATAAACTGATGGAGATACTGAAATCTTCTTAAAGTTAACATATAAGTAAAGATGCAAATATAAAGAAGGGTTCAAGCCAGGCACAGTGGCTCATGTCTGTAATCCTAGTGCTTTGAAAGGTGGAGGTGAGAGGATTGTCTGCGCCCAGGGGTTCGAGACCTTGGCGAGACCTTGTCTCTATAATAACATAAAACAATTTTTAAAATTGCTAGGCGTGGTAGCATGCGTCTGTAGTTTCAGCTACTTGGAAAATTGGGGCAGAAGGATTGTCTGAGCCCAGGAGTTCCAGGTTGCAGTGGCCATAATTGTGCCACTGCACTCCAGCCTGGATGACAGAGTGAGTCTTCGACTCAAAAAGAAAAAGAAGAAAGGCTTGCTTGCATGGAGATAAATACTATTTTCCTAAAGAGGGGAGTTAAAAAAAAATTATAGCGTCAAATGTAGAACAATGGGATGAGGGTGGTAGTGGAGAGAAAAGTTGAGAACGAAATAGACTTGCAATCCTGAAAAATCTTCACAGTCATCACAGATAATACAGTAGTTATATAATCTTTACTCTGTGTTTTGCCAACACCAGCATTGGCCTTTGCAGGCCCCCTGAGTTTCTTCATTCTTTTCTTTGATTTCTTTCACTGTTTCCTTGAGGTATTTTCTTCTCATGGCTTGCAAGTCTGTGTTTGATTTTATTTTTCACTACATAATCCATGGAATCACAAATCGTGTCAAAGCCAGTTATCTTGCCACCAACAAAATGGGTTCTAAGTCCAAATAAAAAGATGATGTTGGTATGGTTTTGTATATGGCTGTTTCCCCCCAAATTTCTGTCTTTGGTATCATTGCTTTCTAGTGAAGGACAGCTATGCCTGTTTGTTTCCCCTGAAATAGTTGGGTTGGTCATGAACTTGTGGTCTGAATAGTTATTGTGTCATTCATGATGGGAGTCGATCCTCAGGCAGCCAGGCGGGATTGCCACACTTTCCTATGGCAAGCTATATTAGTGATAGACTGAATATTGTGTTGATTTAACTGTACAAATATTTATTAGTTGCAAATTCTTTGAGAAATTGAGCTCATCTTAAAATATAAATCTTTATACTACTTTGATTATCATCTATATTCGTTATTTTGTGAAACATTCAAAGTTCAGTGTATTTCTTAAAGAGTAGTGATAAATTTGAAATGGAGAACTAAAATGGTAATCCCTAGGAAATAGCACGTGTAGTGTTTCTTAAGAAATTGAGAGCCGGGCTCGGTGCCTCAGCCTGTAATCCCACGCCTTTGGGAGGCTGAGGTGAGTGGATTGCCTGAGCCTGCGGGTTAGACCCGCCTGGGCAGCAAGACCTCATCTCTACAATAAATCAAAAAATCAGCTGGGCGTGGTAGCGTGCGCCTGTAATTCCGGCTACTCGGAAGGCTGAGGTGGAAGGATCGCCGGAGCCCAGCAGGTCAAGGCTGCGGTGGCTGGGAGCGGCCACTGCACTCCAGTCTGGGCGACAGAGTGAGACTCCAACTCAAAAAAAAAAAAAAGAAATTGAACAAATATGTTTAAAAACTCTATTTTCCACACTTTAGGCACAATTTGCATACTGTATATATAGCCACTTGTCCATTTGTTCAGCCAAAATAGGCAGATGATAGCAATAAATGTCTGTCTTCAAGGACAAGAATAAGTAGTGTTATCTCTTTCTTAATCTTGAGAAGCATAATTAATTTTTCTGAAGTTTATAATTTATGCTTGGTATCCTTTTATTATTTAGTTTAGTGCTTCTCCAACTTCGAGTCTTTTTGAATGACTGTAGATTGCTTTATCTCACTGATATTTACTTTTTCCTAACAGCACGTGTTGATACATTATGTGATAGCTAATGATGCATTCCTCTTTTAATCGCTTATAAAACTGCTCGACATCATTAGTTATTAGGATAATACAAATCAAAACCACAATGAGATACTACTTTATGCCATTAGAGTGGCTATAATAAAAAGACAGGCAATAACAAGTATTGGTGAGGATGTGGAAACACTGAAATCCTCATACATTGCTGGTGAGAATGTAAAGTGGTACAGCTACTTTAGAAAACAGTTTGGCAGTTTCTCAAAAAGTTAAATGTAGAGTTACCGTATGACCTGGCAGTTCCATGCCTAGATTTAACTCCCAAAAGAATTGAAAGCCTGTCCACACAAAAACTTATAGAAGAATATTCATAGTAGTAGTAATAATAATAGCCAGAAAAGTAGAAACAAACCAAATGTCCGTCAGCTGATGAATGGATAAGCAAAGTCTTGGTATACTCATACAGCAAAATATCACTTGGCAATAAAAAGGAATAAAGGGCCGGGCGCGGTGGCTTAAGTCTGTAATCCCAGCACTTTGGGAGGCCTAAGCGAGAGGATTGCCTGAGCTCACGAGTTCAAGAACAACCTGGACAACTTGGCAGGACCTCATCTCTACAATAAATCAAAAAGTTAACTGGGAGTGGTAGTGCGTGCCTGTAGTTCCAGCTACTTGGGAGGTTGAGGCGGAAGAATCATCTCAGCTCAGCAGGTCGACGCTGGGGTGGCCATGAGCGTGCCACTGCACTCCAGCCTGGGCGATGGAGTGAGACTCCAACTCAAAAAGAAAGGAATGATGGTTGAACCTTGAAAACATTATGCAAAGTGAAATAAACATAAACCAGACATGAAAGACCACATATTGTATGATTCCATATATATGAAGTGTCCAGCATAGGCAAATCGATAAAGATAGAAAATAGATGAGTGGTTGGCAGGAGATGAAAGGGGTCATGTAGGGACTGCCAGTAGGTACAGGGTTACTTTTCAGGGTGATTAAATGCTCTGGAATTAAATAATGATGAAATTTTACAATTTTGTGAATATACTAAAGCCACTGAGTTGTACATTTTAAAAGAGTAAAGTTTATGAAATTAATATATCTCACTTTAAAAGGTATAACAAACAAAACTTGTAAAGCAACTTCTGTAAGAATGTTCTGTACTGTTGGAATATATTAGGTTTCAACCCTTCAGAGACCAAGATTCGAACACCCGATGGGAAAGTGTGGCAAGAGGCGGAGTTTCAGAACATGAGTAGAGAACTGTATCGAGACTTAGCACTTCACTTTGCAGGTAAGAATATAGTTTTCTTATATCTTGAATATTTTATCATGCATGTTATCTAACTTACCTTTAAACATAAAACTGTCACCAAAAGTTCCTTTCTCTAAATTTTGAAAAAAAAGATTCTAAAACAAGGTATACTCAAGTTGTGGTGGTTTGAATTATAAGGCTCCCTTAGCCTCTGGGTGCTGCTCCAGGGTTAAAATTAGCCTACATGGCTAAGGAGACAGAAAACCCAGACTATTTTTAAACTGAGGGACTTTCAAAGTCGGGACTACGTGATTTGAAGGGAACATAGCAGAGTCTAGTCGAAGTTTGCTTCTGCTAGGCCTCTGAGATCTTTGAAGTGGTGAGTAATTTGGCAGGCAGCAGATAAGATACTTGTCTGAGGGTAAGATGCAGAAAGAAAAATAAGTATTATAGGAAGAGATTAATGTTGGAGAATTAGATATAGGAGGAACACATGGAAGATTGGAAGAGGGAAGTAGGAAGGTCATCTAATAATGTTACTACTTATAGAACGTGTAGTATGATGGTGGGCAAGATGCTGGGTAGTCTTTTGCATCTTTTACAGTTGAGAAAATGGAAGCTCAAAGAATAATTTTCCTAGGGTTGGTTGGAGTAGTTAAGAATAAAAGCCAAGATTAAAAATAACTCTGTCTGATTCTAAAGCCTAAGTTCTTCCTAGTAAGTCCTCATAGAGATTCTACCAATACATGTTTTGGCATTAAGTGTCCAATCCAGTTTTCTTGCTATTAGAATGCTGTATTCAGAGATTTTTTTTGTCGTGTGGATAGGAAGTAAAACGTAGTAGTTAAGAGCAAAAATTTTGAAATCAGTTTACAAGGGTTCAAATTCTGGCTCTGCCACTTATTAGCTGTGTTTACTAGCTATGTAACTTAACCTCTCTAACTTGGTTTTCTCATCTGTAAGAGAGATAATAACAATATACCTCATAAGATAGTACAATTATAGACTGGTAGAATATGTCAAAGGACTCTTTAAAAGGTCTAACTGTTAAACTCTGCCCTCTTTATTGTAATGGTAGATGAACTCTGTGTTTGTAGCTAAGACCATCCCATCTACTTGTGTTTTAGATTCTATTTGCTTTTGTATATTTAAGGATGTTACTTCAGCCCTGTTTCCTTTCTTTCGCCTCATCACATTTTCCTCTTCTACTCGGTCATGTTTATCAACATACTATTTCATAACATGCTGTTCAGCTACCATAAAAGAACTCCTCTTTTGGCCCTACTTCTCTTAGCTCTTGCCTTGTTTCTCCCTTCTGTTTACAGTAGACCTGAAAAAGTTGCCTTATACTCATTGACTCCCATTTTTCTCCTCCCTTTCTCTTAAATCCTTTCTATTAGGTATTTACCCCTTTTATCTATGTAGACTGCTGATATCAGGATCATCAGTAACTTCCACATTGCTAAATGCATTGTTTTTGTTTTTTTTTTTTGAGTTGGAGTCTCACTCTGTCACCCAGACTGGAGTGCAGTGGCTACTCCCAGCCACCGCAACCTCTGCCTGCTGGGCTCTGGTGATCCTTCCGCCTCGGCCTTCTGAGTAGCTGGAACTACAGGCACGCGCTACCACACCCGGCTAGTTTTTGATTTATTGTAGAGATGAGGTCTCGCCGAGTTGCTCAGGCGGGTCTCGAACCCGTGGGCTCAGGCAATCCACTCACCTCAGCCTCCCAAAGTGCGGGATTACAGGCTGAGCCACCATAACCTGCTCTAAATGCATTGTTTAATACTCAAGTTGTTAACTTGATTTCTTAGTGGCATTTGACATGATTGATCACTTCTTCCTTGAAACGGTTTACTTGACACATAGAATACCATAAATGTCTGGTTTTCCTCCTAAGTCTAGCTGCTCATTTTCTGTTGTTATTTTCTGAATTGACTCCCTGATCTCTAAACATTGGCATAACCTAACCTTAGTCCTCAGTACTTGGACAGGCTCCCCCTCCCTGCTCCCTTCTTTTCTTCTTCTCTCTTTCTTTTTAACTTTTTTTCTTCCCACCTTTCTTTCTTTACTTTTTCTCTTTCTCGAATCTTCCTCCCTCTTTTTCTTTTTCCCTCTTTTTTTTTCAAAATTTATCTAGCTCAGTGCTTTAAATATTCTCTGTTGCTAATGATTCCCAAATTTATCTCTCTAGCCCAGACCTCCCCACTGAACTCAGATACTTATATTCAGCTGTTAACTTCATACCTTCTCTTGGGTGTATAATAGGTTTATCAAGCTGAATATATCCAAAATGAAGCTAACTAATGAAGTGAGGTCATGATACACCCGTTAAACCTGCTACTCTGGTAGTCTGTCTATGGCAGTTAATTCTATTTCTCTAATTGTTTAGTCCCTAAATTTTGAGTCATTATTAATGTCCCTAATCTCATACCTTATATCTAATTTTATCTGAAATATGTCTAAAGTATAATAACTTTCACCACCTGTATCACTACCACCTAGATCAAAGCTACCATCGGTCTCTTGCCTGGATTACTGCAGTAGTCTCCTAACGGGTCTCCTTGTATCTGTCCTTCTTCCTTTTTTTTTTTTTGAGTGGGAGTCTCACTCTTTGCCACCCAAGCTGAAGTGCAGTGGCACGCTCACAGCCACCACAGCCTCGACCTGCTTGGCTTAGGCGATCCTTCTGCCTCAGCCTTCCAAGTAGTTGATACTACAGACACAGGCCGTCACACCCAGCTAGTTTTTGTGATTTACTGTAGAGATAAGGTCTCACCAAGTTGCCCAGGCTGATCTTGAACCCCCAGGCTCAGGCAGTCCTCTTGCCTTGGCCTCCCAAAGTGCTGAAATTACAGGCTGAGTCACTTCGTCCAGCCTGTCTTTCTTCTCATGAATCTATTCTCATCACAGCTGCCAGAGTAAGCTTGCTAAAATTTAATGTAGATCATGCCATGCCTTTGCTCAGAATTTTTAAAAACTTCCTGTCTCACTCTTGAGTAAAACCTGAAGTTCTTACGGTGGCCTATATAGCCTGCATGGTCTAGTCCTTCGTTTTGTCTCTGACCTTCGTTCCTGCTACTCTTTTTGTTCACTCTACTCACACTGGTTTGCTTGCTGTTTTTAGATACTAAGTATGTGCCTGCCTTGGGGTCTTTTTCTCGTACTTATTTCCACACTGCCCAGAATACAAAACTCTATGTGTATTCTAAAGTACATTTATTCAAATCTGTAATTGTGATTAATATTTTGAATTGATATGTATAGTCAGTATATTTCCCTAGACTGGAATTTTTAAAAATTAGTAGTAATGTATAGGTAAAATACTTTGATATGTTTCAATAGCATGGTTATAAATGGACCTAATTTAGGAATACTATACTGAGTATATTATAAGGTTTTTATGTAGAAGCTTTTAAATGAAATAGGAATCTATGGAAGTGCCTATCTCTAAGATTCTATAAATGCAGTAATCTTGGTTTGGAAAGCTTTTGGAAAATGAGGTAAATTTCTCAAAGGTTTCCTGAAAAATCAAAACTAAAACAAGGGTTTGGAGTAGTGGTTATCTTTAGATTTTTCCATAATAAGGGGTTGACAAGGGTAGCGTGTGGGTCATAGAAATAGCCCCAGTGAAGATTTCTTTCTCTCTACCTGAATTATATACTTTATGGGGAAATGATGAGTGGGTAGCTGGGAATCTTTTTTTTGTAATGTTTGCTGTAAATGTTTCTGTTTCCCAGATGATCTCTCTATAAAAGAGAAGACTGCTGAAAAAAGTAAAGAGAAGAAAGTGGTCAAACCAGTACGAAAAGTCCAAAAAGTAGCACAATTATCTACTCCAGAATGCAAAACAGGTTAGTTAGTGTTTTTCAGTACCATGTCCATCCTAAAGTTGCATATTACTGAAATGGAATCTACATGGATATAAATATACATTACCAAATGTTCTCATTGTTTGGCACATATAAGTTCAGTACATTTTACGTATCATTATTTTGTGTGTATTTGTGTGTTTTGTTTTTTTTAATTTGTTTTTTGAGACAGGGTCTTGTTATGTCACCAAGGCTGGAGGGCAGTGGCACAATCATAGGTCACTGCACTCTCTACCTTCAGGGCTTGTGATCCTCCTGCCTCAGCCTCCTGAGTATTTAGGACTACATTTTTATTTTTTGGTCCTCCAGCCTCAGCCCTGCAAAGTCCTGGAATTACAGGTGCGAGCCACTGCACCTGGCCTTGTATATGTCTTATTAAGGTATAATTGACATAGACTAAATTGGACATATTTGGAATATAAAGTTTGATACATTTTCATAATTGTATGCATCTGTGAAACCATTTGTTCATCATATGTTCATCAAGATACTGAACACATTCATTATTCCCTCAGGTTTTTTTTCTATCATTATTTTTAATAGAAGTTAACCAGATTAAAGAAAATTATTTTTATGTAGTGAATTTAAGGGGATTATTTATGACTGTCACCGAGTCCTTTATTCTCCTAAGAGAACAAATGTTGCGCTAGAACTATGGTGGTCTATGCCAGTATTGGTCAGGTGGGACTCTGAAAAAATCAAGATTGGAGAAAAGAAAATTCTCTAGTTTGATGGTGATTAACATTTCAGCCCTGATGCAGATTCAGATTCATAACCAGCTGTGTTCCTTTGGTAAATGAGTCAATTTTAGTGTGCCTTGGTTTCCGCGTATGTAAAATGTCAAAGCACTAGTACTTATCTCACAGGGTTGTTGTGAGAACTAAAATTGTTAAAACCTAAAAGCCGTCACTATAGTACCAGGCAGATGATAAGCACTTTGGTGTTAGCTATGACCCCATTGATAATAGTAATTATTATTTCTGGATATACTAAAAGCAGTGTTTAGAATATCATTCATGTCTGTGAGTAATTTGGGCTGAGGGAGTAGAGAAAGTTGGGAACTGACTTGTCAATTTCAGTTTGGAGATATTCTGAATCCATACATTCATTCATTATGCAGATATTTTTGAGTACTTGCAACATGAGGCACTGTACTGTACTAAGCTTAAGCAGTACAGTGGTAAACAAGGTGCACACAGTTCCTTCTTTCATGGAACTTATAATCTTGTCAGAAAAATAGTAGATATAGTTACAATAAAATATAATGAATGCTGTGGTAAGAGATCACCAGGTTTTATAGGAACACAGAACATATCTATCTATGAGCCACTGGTTTTTGATCAGGCACCAGTTTTTCTGGTCATACACCAGTCAGTAGAATGACAAATAACTTGACACTGATTGTTAACTTTAGATGTCGTAATAGAGTGACACTGGCTATATACAAATAAAAAAACAAAGTTTTATAAGAACATGAGTTATCTGAGGCTTTTTTTTTTTGGAGAAAGCAGGATTTATTGAGAGGACAGAAAAGCTCCCATAGTGGAAGGGGACCCGAAGGGGTTGCCCCGAGTAATCTGAGTATTCTAATAATGACAATTTTTTGTTTGTTTGTTTTTGTTTTGTTTTTTGAGTCAGTGTCTCACTCTGTCACCCAGGCTGGAGTGCAATGGCACAATCTTGGCTACTGCAGCCTCAACCTCCTGGACTCAGGCGATCCTTCCACCTCAGTCTTCTAAGCAGTGGGATTATAAGTGTGTGCCACTATACCTGGCTAATTTTTTGATTTATTGTGGAGACATGGTCTTGCCATGTTGCCCAGGCTGGTCTCAAACTCCTGGGCTCAGGCAATCCTCTTGCCTCAGCTTCCCAAAGTGCTGAGATTATGCAGGCGTGAGCCACTGTGTTCAGCAATAATTACGTTATTTAAAAATACTATTGTTCATGTGGCATTATGTGATGCTGTTGTCAGGAGTATAGTTTGAAATGAAGCATAGGAACCACCAAAACTTACCAATACTGATCTTGGATTATATTTATCCAGTTTTCTAGCAGGCAAATTCCCATATATGAGAGGGTACCCCAAAAACCCAGAATTTATTTATTAAAAATTGTATATTTATTCTTACATGTTTAGACTTTAGTCACTGTTAGGTTAAAAATATATCCCAATGAGGCCTCTAAATGTTAGGTCAGACCTGACAGTGTGTGCAATCTGATGCTGCATGAAAGATGCAAAGAATTGCACAGCAGTTAGATTGGAAAATATAATTTATTTAGAAAGTAAATTAGAGAGAGAGAGCTATTCACCTCCCCAAGACAAGGTAGGCGACCAAAGCTAAGAAACATAGCAGCCATAGCTCAAAGAGCCACGTGGACACACCAGAGTTTAACGGCAACTGCTGTTTGAAGTTGAATGCCTTTTAACCCTTCCCTTTGTGGGGGCAGGTCATTGAGGTGGTTGGGTGGTGGTCTGCTCCACATCATCACGGAGGACATGTAATTGCAGGTACTGATGTCAGGTGATGGACAGCAGGCAGATGGGTGGGTTAGTCACATGACTGTTGCCTTGCTGATGGGGTCTATGTCATGAAGAGCTGATTAGGCTAACTTGTTTACAAAACAAGCTGGGGGGGGTTGTAAAGCAATTATCAATAGCTACCTCTGAGAAATCAGTTCTGTCCTTGGCTAGTGATTAGAGGGTAACTTAAAGTGAATTTCAAGAGAAACATGACAATTCTAAGCAATGCTAAAATGGCTACACTTTGGCTATATTTACTCCATGTTATGGTCTTTAACTCACCTTCAGAGTACTCTGTTTGATGTAGTACACCTGTTGAGATGCATTACTCAAAACAGTTTTCAAACTCATCAATTATGTTGCTGTTTAGTGCTTCCTCTGTTTTTTTGTTTCACTTCTTCCACATCGGCAAAATGCTTCCCTTTGAGGAATTTTTTCATTGGGGAAACAAAAAAAAGTATCTAGGGGTGAGATCCGGTGAATAGGGAGGGTGAGGCATGGGGATTATGTCTTTTTTGGGTCAAAAACTGCTGAACATCAGCACAGTGTGGGCAAGTATGCTTGTAAATCACCCATCATGAAATGGATAAATGTGTTGAAAGAATCTCAAAAAAAAAAGCTTCACTGAAGCTTAGTGCAGCCTCTCACAATAGCACTAGCTGTAATACTGATGGGTTCCTAGAAAGCGTACCTAGCGGGGGAAGACTATACTATAAGGAACCCACCCTCTAAAAAAAAAATTGTTTTGTGTGTGTGTGTGTGTGTGTGTGTGTGTTTCCCTCAGATGCACTGCGGCAGCGAATTAGAGTCATTAAATTTTATCTTGTGAAAGTCCTTTTTAAAAATCTTTTGAAAGTCCTTTTTTTTTTTTAACCAATTACTGCACGCAACTGTTCAGAAAGCTAGAATTTAGAAATAACCACTCAGCTCATTCAGAAACCTGTATGTATAAATAAATACCCAGTGTATTCATGGTTGCTTGTTATTGATTCAGAAAATCAAGCTGAAGTTGAAGAGAAGTCTGTTCTCTCATCTTACTTAAAAATATAAAGTTTTTTTTAATAAATAGATTGAGCAATAGACTTAAAACCCTTTAAATATTTTAGCTAAAATGAATAAGGTTAATAAGAAGGTGCAAAAACTTTTTATAAAGTAAAAATATTTTATAGAAGACAAACATATAGAAAGGATCAAAAGACAAAAATCTGGTTATTTGAAAGGATAAATAAGGTTGATGGACCCCTGGCCACCTTGACTAAAGAAGAGAGAGAGAGAAAGTCCAAATAAACACAGAAATGAAAAAGGCAAGATCACAGCTGACCCTGAAGTAATTCAAAAGACTATCAAAGATAACTGTGGACATCTGTATGCAAATAAACTAGAAATCTAAAAGAAATGGAGGATTTTCTTACATCACAAAACCTCCTAAGTTTGAAACAAGAAGAAATCGAAACTTTAAACAGACCAATAAAAATCCAGGAGATCACTGGACTCGGTGGCTCAGCCTGTAATCCCAGCACTTTGGGAGGCTGAGGCAAGTGGATTGCCTGAGCCTGCAGGTTCAACACCAACCCAGGCAACTTGGCAAGACCTCGTCTCTACAACAAATAAAGAATTAGCTGGCATGGTAGCACATGCCTGTAGTTTCGGCTACTTGGAAGGCTGAGGTGGAGGGATTGCCAGAGCCCAGCAGGTTGCCACTGGGGTGGCTGTGAGCATACCACTGCACTCCAGCCTGGGTGATGGAGTGAGACTCCAACTCAAAAAAAAAAAAAAAAAAAAAATCCAGGAAATCTACTCAGTCATAAGAAATCTCCCTGTCAAAAATAAAAGCCCTGAACCAGATGGCTTCCCAGCTGAATTCTGCATGACATACAAAGAGGAGCTGATACCAAATCTTGCTGAAAATATTCCAGGCAGTTGAGAATGATGGAATTCTCCCTAACTCATTTTATGAAGCCAACATCATACTGATAACCAAATCTGGCAAAGACCCAACAAGTAAAAAAGAATTACAGGCCAGTCTCCTTGAACACAGATGCAACAATTTTTTGAACATGGATGCAAACGTTCTCAACAAGATTCTAGCAAATAAGATCCAACAACACATCTCAAGGATCATTCACCATAACTAGGTGAGCTTCATTCTTGGGATACAGAACTGGTTCAACACTTGCAAGACCATAAACGTAATTCAGCACATTAATAGGTATAAAATCAAGAACCATATGACTATTTCATTAGAGGAGAAAAAGCATTCGACAAAATCCAGCATCCCTTCTTGATAAAAACCCTGGAACAACTAGGCATAGAAGGAACATTCCTCAAAACAGTAAGAGCCATCTATGATAAACTTGCAGCCAACATTTTGCTCAATGGGCAAAAGCTGGAAGCATTCCCCCTAAGAACTGGAACAAGACAATGATGCCTACTCTCACCCTTTCTATACAACATAGTGCTGGAAGTTCTAGCCAGAGCAATCAGGCAGGAGAAGGAAATCAGGGGTAGCCAAATAGGAAGAGAGGAGGTTAAGCTATCCCTCTTTGCAGACAATATGATTCTATACCTAGAAAACCCTAGGGAGTCTGTCAACAGCCTCCTAACACTGATAAACGACTTTGATTAACTCTTGGGTTACAAAATCGACATTCAAAAGACAGTTCCATTTCTATGTACCAGCAGCAAGCAGACAGAGAACCAAATAAATAACACAATCTCATTCACTACAGCTACAAACATATCAAATACCTTGGCATCTGCCTAACCAGAGAAGTAAAAGACCTTTGCAATGAGAACTACAAAATGCTGCTCAAAGAAATCAAAGATGACACAAACAAATGGAAAAACATCTTATACTCATGGATTGGAAGAATCAGCATTGTCAAGGTGTCCCTCCTACCCAAGGCAATCTACAGATTCAATGCAATACCGTTCAAATTACCAACATCATTTTTCACAGACCTGGAAACAACAATACAGAAATTCATATAAGAACCAAAAAAGAGCACAAATAGCCAAAACAATCCTCAGCAAAAGGAACAAAGTAGGAGTTATACTTCCAGACTTTAAACTTTATTATAAGGCTACAGTAGCCAGGACAGCATGGTACTGGTACAGGAACAGGTACATAGTCAAGTGGAATAGGACAGATTCTGGAAGTAAAAACATGGTCTTTCAACCAACACATCTCTGACAGAACCATCAATAACAATCATTAGGGAAAGGAAGCCATATTTCGGAAATGGAGGTGGGAAAACTGGCCAATCACATGCAGAGGGATGAAACTAGACTCCTACCTATCACCATATATAAAAAATCAACTCAAAATGGCTCAAGGACCCAAATGTAAAACCCAAAACTATAAGAATCCTAGAAGAAAAAGTAGGAAACACCCTTTTGAATATCAGAGTAGGCCATGAATTCATGACCAAGCTACAAAAGCTAAGATAGAGAGGTGAGACCTCTTCAAACTGAAACACTTTTGCACAGCAAAAGAAACCATCAAGAGAGTAAAGAGACAACCCAGAATGGAAAAATATATATATTTGCAAATTATGCATCTGACAAAGGCCTAACATTCAAGATCTACAGGGAACTCAAAAGTGAAAAGAAAAAAGCAACTCCATTAAAAAGTAGGCAACAGACATGAACAGGCACTTCTCAAAAGATGACATATAAGCAACCAACAGACATGAAAAAATGCTCAACCTCACTAATCATCAGAGAAATGAAAATACTAACTACAATGAGATACCACCTAACTCTGTTAAGGAAGGCTGTGTACATAAGTCTTAAGTAACAAAAAACAACAGATGCTGGCACAGCTATGGAGAAAAGGAAACATGATTTCTAAAAGAACTAAAAATTGCTCTTCCATATGACCAGTAATCCTGCTCCTGGGAATATACCTGGAGGAACATAAATCACTCTACCAAAAAGACACTTGCATATGCATGTTTATTGCTGCACTATTCACAATGCAAAAACATGGAACCAACACTGCTGGCCATCCAAAGTGGACTGGATCAAGAAAATATGGTACGTATACATGATAGAGTATTATACAGCCATCAAAAAGGACAAAATCATGGCCTTTGCAGCAACTTGGTTGCAGTTGGAGACCATAATACTAAGTGAACTATCACAGAAACAAAGAACTGAATACCACATCTTCTCACTCATAAGCAGCCCTGACCACTAGTCACATTAGCACAAGGGTGGGATCAGCAGTTGCAGGATACGGGTAGAGGAGGGACAGAGGGAGGGGACAAAAAATGGGGGCACATGATAACACAAAGGATACCTGATTCACTACTGGGGCAGTGGGGCCACCTAGAAGCCCAAACTTCACCTGAATGCAGCCTACTTATGTAGTAAGTCTTCACTTGTACCCCAAATCCTATAATTATAAAAATTTTTTAAAGTAAACACATTTATTTAAATTTAAATTTTTACATTAGCACCCTTTAAAAAAAAAACTCTAAATGGAATGACCTTTAGTATAAATACAATAGAATAGTGTGACAGCTGGAAAAATAGAAGAAAACAGATAAAACCTCTACTCTGAGTTAAATAAAGGATCAGTATTATGTTGCATTTCCTTACATTAGTTTTAAAATCATAACAGTATGTGATTGTAATCATCATATACATACTTTTTTTGCATGTGTAAAAGTTCATTGTTTTTTCTTGGCATCTTTTTACCAGAACATTTTTGTTTTTTCTTATAAAAATTGTCATTTGCAGTGGCCACACAATATTCTAGTAGGAACAGTAACTGTTCATCATTCTTCCGTATTTAGTTTACTTCTGATACTATAAAAAATATACAATCAATATTTTCTTTCTTTTTTTTTTGGTGTTTCATGCTCTTTTTTTTAAATTATAAAGATGTGAGGTACAATTCAGGGTTAGGTATACAAATGTTGATTATGCAGGTACCCTTGTTGATGAGATATCAATATTTTCATTTATTTTTTTCTTTGTTTTAGATTATTTCTATTGTATAAATTTCTGTTTGTTGGATTATTTGATCAAAATGGTACTGTTGGGGTCACTGACACATAATTCTATGTTTTATTTATTTGTTTATTTACTTATTTTTATTTTATTTTTTTTAAGTCAAAGTCTCATTCTGTCACCCATGCTGGAGTGCAGTGGTATGGTCACGGCTACCACATCCCTAACCTACTGGGTTTAGGTGATCCTTCTGCCTTATCCTTCCAAGTAGCTGGAACTACAGGTGCACACCCATCACACCCTGCTAACTTTTTTTATTTTTTGTAGAGATAAAGTCTTGCCAAGATGCTCAGACTGGTTTTAAACCCCTGGGCTCAGGCAATCCTTTTGCCTCTACCTCCATAGTGCTGGGATTACAGGTGTGAACCTTTGCACCTGGCCTATTTTTTTTTTTAAGAAATTATACCCACTTATATTTCAACAAGCAATGTGTAAGTAGAATGATTTTTATTGTATTTTTGTCAGCATTAGCTATTAATGTAAAATATTTTTTTCTAATTATTTGTGCTTAAAGTACTTCTGCATTATTTTCATTGTCATTCTTTTAAAATATATGTTGATTTGCATCTCAACATTTTGACATATTTATTTCTTTTTTTTGTAGTTTCTATTTTGTAAATAGGTTTTCATGTCTTTTTAAGTTACTGTCTATTTTGAGATGATGGCTTCATTTTAATTTTCTTACAGCCTGAAGCTAGTAGATGAAAATAATTTTTTCTCCTGGTAAATGGTTGTATTTATTAAAACATGTATTTTTATAAATGTTTATGATAAAGGCATTTTAAAATGTTGATGATATTTACTTTTTAAATGTTAATGTTTTATTAAAGAAAAATAGTATATACTTTTGTTATATATCTATAAAATATAATGTGAAAGTTCCTGTTATACTATCTCCTTCAAAAGTAATCACTGTTAACTGTTACATGTTTTCCTCAAATTTTTTCCTATGCTTTAAGTCATTTATGTGTTCAGCAAACGTGCATTTTATCATGTACCATGTACTGTGCTAGATATTGGTAACCAAACACTTATATACAAAGACATTTTTGTTCTGTTGAATTTGGTGCCCTAGTTAATGAGGTGTTAGGACTTATTATTATTATTTGGTACCTGACCTTCAAAACATTTTACACTTATTTCAGATGTGTGAGTAAAGCAACATCTAAACAAATGGTTCACTGATTTTGGAAGCTTGGGGGTTAAAAATGCAATTATATTGTAAACCTTTTTGTCCTTAGCAGAAGATACGCATAACGTTAATTATAAAACCTGTATGGTTGAGTAGATACACTTCTTAGAGCTGAAATTTAAGTTTTAAATTCAATGCAATGTATATATTTTAGGTAACAGTCGTCTTATAAGTACTTCTTCTTGGCGAGACGGACAAAAATTAGTAAAGAAGATTCTGGGACCTGCACCCCGAATGGAGCAAAAAGAGCGAAGAACAGTATCAAGTGACAGAGGTGGGAGAGAAAGAACTACTAAATCTGGTGAGTATGTATAAGTAAAGTTGTTGAAAAAATAATTAAAAATTGCTTGTATAAGTACAAGAGAACGTGAAAATATGCTTGAGAATATGTTAGGACTTTGCTTTTTAATTGTGAATTTTGCTCAAAAAAGAGGAAATGTTCTATTGGGCTTATTTATGGCTAATTTGTACATGTAAGTGTAACACTCATCTTTATTAAGAATTTTGTTTTTGTTATATTAATTACATTTTGCTGTCATTGTGAATATGAAAGTAAATCACTATAGGCTTTTAGGGGCCATAGAAGAATCAAGTCCAATCTGTCTCATCCCCATATAAACAAAAAACACAAACATTCACATGGTTGGATTTTTTGTTTGTTTGTTTGACAGATTAGGAAACAAGCTGTGAAAAAGATGTGATTTGTCTTAAGGGTATATAGTCAGTGGGAGCAAGATTTGATATAGGATCTAGAACTCTTCAGTTTGACCCTCAAGTCCATTGCTTTTCTCTTATTTAAGTGTCTTAAATGCCATTTGAAATAACTGGTTATTTTTTCATGAACATTAGTTTTAAGAAATGATATATAAATACTCACAAACCAGCTTTTCTTTTCAGCAGCCATACTGTGTCAGTTAATTGGAGCATTTGGAATGGATTCAGTGAGATGCAATCTAACTATAATTTGGTATATAGAAATCATTTTGGAAATACAGTACTTTGTATTTGGCCCTCTTCACTTTTATCTAGCTCATAAATAAACTCACGTGTATTCTCAGCCTAATACCATGTCAGCAAATATTTAGATGATAAAATGATCTTTTTCTATATATTTAATTTTTTGTCATTCACTGGAGTGTTGTGGAGACAACATTTAATTGACAAATATTTTTCTGGATGCCCACTACATAACAGGCATTGCTCTAATTTCTAGGGCTTCAGAGTAAGCAAAATAGACCAAAATCCTTGGCTATGTGAAACAGTTCTAGTTGAAGGAAACATTATGTTCTTCATGTACTTCTTACTAAACTTTGTCCTGTTTCTCTGGAAATAGGGTAAAATACTCAAAATTTTTAAAAGATTTGAAGATTTGTTTTATAGATGTTTTAAAAATGTGAAAGTGATCATATGAGAGGCTAAATTATGTATTTTCTTTGCCAACAGGAAATATAAATTAAACTTCATAAATTCTCTGATAAACTCATCTAATATAGTGCCATTTAATGTAAATGTAAAATAGATCAGTGTTACAGAATTTTCAGAAAAATTAATATTTTCAGTGCCATTATTTGGCATATGGAGTTTGATCTTTTAAAAATTACCATTTTTAAGATTCGTAAAGTATCTTTCATTTCTTTGATTCTTATTAGGATGGCTTCTACTAAAAGGCATTTTTTAACAGCCTTTTGAGGGTTCCTAGAGGGAGAGAACTAGTAACTTTAAATCTGTACGTGAGAGAGAAATAGTAGTGTTAAATATTCACTTCAAACCATAAGATCTGTCTTTTTGTCAGAAATATTGAATGATAGGTACACTTTTAAAACTCAAGGAAGTATAGGTTTTTAGAAGTTTGAAATTTCTTTTACTTCCAAAAAGGTTTTTCTTTCCTTTTATAATGTTCTTTAGAGGACTATAGGATATTGGATTTTTTAAAGATAAAGTGAAATGCCCTAGTTTTCTTCTGTGTGCAATATATCTTAGGAATATTTATGGAATTTTAGTATATCACTAACAATTCATACTTTTCAGGGGGCCATATTGGAAGAGCAGAATCTGATCCCAGGTTGGATATTTTACATAGACATCTTCCACAAAGTTCAGAACGTTCGAGAAGTAGAGCTCGGTGTGAAAATAATATAAAGAAATTAGCTCCATCTCTTCCAGATAATAAACAGGAAGAAAATTCTGCCTTAAATAAGGACTTTTTGCCTGTTGAGATTCGTGGCATTCTTGATGACCTACAGCTGGATTCTACAGCTCAGACTACAAGGCAAGAGACTGGAGAGTTACAGAATCAGAAGTCATCAGCACCAGTACAAGCTCCTAGGAGTCATAGCCCAGTAAAAAGAAAACCTGACAAAATAACAGCTAATGAAGATGCCCCTGTTATTTCCAAAAAGCGCCACTATGACACAGATGAGGTACGACAGTACATTGTTAGACAGCAGGAGGAAAGGAGGAGGAAGCAAAATGAAGAGAAGAAGGCTCAAAAGGAGGCCACTGAGCAGAGGAACAAACGATTACAAGAGCTCTACCGGAAACAGAAAGAAGCTTTTGCTAAAGTAAAAAATGTGCCTCCTTCAGAGCCATCAGCAACTAGGCGACTACAGGAAACATACTCCAAATTGTTACTAGGAAAGACCTTGCTCGAAGAGCCATCTCATCAACATGCTACACAGGAAACACAGGTAATAGTAAACAGGAATACAAAGGGTAGTAATTCATAGTTAGGAAGAGCTTATTTGCTATATTATTTAAAAATTATTCGTCAGTCATAATATTCCGACTGTTCTCAGGTGATATGTATAATAATCATCGCCTTTCATGAAATGTATTAAATAGTAAGAATAATGTGATAAAGATAATGGAAAATAAGACCTTAGAGTTTCCTACAGTGATTGTTATTGATCTCTTTTCCTTGCTTCATTGCTGTTAGTTTTAGCCCTGCTTAGTTTTCGTTGTAGTACTGAGTAAATAAAGTTAGATTATGTTAGTGAAATATAGTTTCACTCAAGTATAACTCTTGAACTACATCAGGGTTGGGGTACCGACCCCTGCACAGTCAAAAATCCACGTAAAACTTGACTTCCCCATAACTTAACTACTAATAGCCCACTGTTGACTGTAAGCCTTACAACATATAGAGTTGATAAACACATATTTTGTATATGTATTATATACTGTATTCTTGCAATGAAGTAAGCTAAAGAAAATGTTGTAAAGAAAATATTAAGGGAAAAAATTATATTGACTATTGATTACGTGAAGGTGAATCATCTTAAAGGTCTTCATCTTCATCATCTTCACATTGAGTAGGCTGAGGAAGAGGAGGAAGAGGAGGAGTTGGTCCTGCTGTGGCAGGAGTAGCAGGGGTGGCAGAGGCAGAAAAGGTGGAGAAGGTGGAAGGGGAGGCAGGAGACATAGGCACACTCAGCATAACTTTACAATAATACATTGGAATTTCGTTCTGACGTTTTTACATTTTCATTTCCCTAAAAATTTTTCTGTGCAGTACCAATTTTTATTCCACTGTTTGTCTAGTTTTAGTGCCCGCATCATAGAAGGGTCCATGTTGTAAAAGAAGTCTAAAGCAGTCTTGAGTAATAAGAACCTTTCTGCCAAGTTGTCTAATGTCAATTTGTGTTCTGGCACCGCCTCCTTCATGTTTTTGTCATTGTCTGGCACTAGCTTGGAAGCCGTCAACTCCACCAAGTAGTCTTCTGTTAATTCCTCTTGTGTAGTGTCTACTAGATCTTGAATTTCTCCAAGGTCTGTAACTTGAAACTTCACCTTCACTGCCACCTCACACATTTTTAATTTTTTTTATTTTGCCATGTCCATAGTCTCTTTCATGATTTCCTTGATTGACTCTTGTGAGTCAATCTTGTGAAGTCAATCTTGTGAAGTCATGTATAACATCTGGACACAGTTTTCTCTAGCAGGAATTTATTGTTTCAGGCTTGATGCCTTTCATGGCTTTTTCTATAACAATAGCATCTTCAGTGGTATAATCCTTCCATAAATCCGCGTTTTCTCTATCAGGGTTCTCTTCCATAGCACTGACAATTGTTTTCATAGAATACCATGTGTAATGAGTGTTAAGCGTTCGTATTGACCCCCAGTCTAGAGACTGAATTAGAGATGTTGTGTTTGGGGGCAAGTAGACCACTTTGACACCTTTGGCGTTGAACTCATGGGGTTCTGAGTGGTCAGGGGCATGGTCCAATATCAAAGGAACTTTAAAAATCAGTCCCCTATTGGTAGTGTACTTTCTGACTTCAGTATCAATAGAACCAGTTCAGATAAAGGATTCTTATTATCTGGACCTTCTTGTTGTACAAGCAAAAGACTGGCAATTTGTGTTTCTCTTTTCCCTTCAAAGCATGGGGGTAATGACGACTCTGATCATAAACCCAACTGCATTTGCACAAAATGGTAGAGCTAGCCTGTCCCTTCTTGCCTTAAATCCTGGTGCTTGGTTCTTTTCCTTACTAATAAATGTTCTTTGTGACTCCCCTCCCCCCCCAGAATAGGGCAATTTCATCTGCATTACAAGTCTTCAAACAAATATTCTTCCTTCTCAGTGATTTTCTTAATGGTGTCTGGGAACTTTTCTGTTGCTTCTTGGTTGGCATAAGCTGCTTTTCCTGTTAACTTTTTTTTTTTTTTTTTAAGGCAAACGTCTTTCTAAAATTGTCAAACTATCCTTTGCTGGCATTAAATACTCCAACTGTAGATCCTTGGCCTTCTTTAAATTATCATGTAATGACTTCACTTTTTTTCAAGTCATATTAGAGTCTATAGATATGCCTATCAAGCAATTGAGCTTTTTCTTGTAATGTCATGACTTTACTCTGCTTCTTGGGAGCATTTTCAGCATCACTATTGGCACTTTGTTTGAATCCCATGATATTATTCAAGGTATATGGTATTGCACTAAATACGATGAAAAATAGGTGAGACCCATGAGCGATCACTTTTATTGCAAAATGTCATGTGAAGGTGATCAGTATCACAGGGTGTTTTAAGCACAGGCTTACAGCACTTGAGCTCACTGCAATAGCAACAGGAGGTAGTTATGAAATTATTACAGTAGAACAGTATGTACTGCAGTTAGTTTTATGCAGTAATGATTTAATACTACATCTTTATGTTTGTTTACATTTCTCTTGACTGCAAATGGTGCCATATATGGTCCGTGTTTGTGTGCTTGTTGCTAAATTTTAACTTTTTATAATTTGTGTATATTTTATGGTAGTAAATGATAAGATAGACTAGTACCTACATACATTTTTCTTTATTTTTTTGATATGTCTAGGCTATGATATTTGTCCACTTTTTTTTCAAATTGTTGGCATATCTCCACAAAATTTTCCAATGTATTTGTTGAAAAAAATCCAAATATAAGTGAATCTGTGCAGTTCAGGCCTATGTTGTTCAAGGGTCAACTGTACTTAGTTTTGTGATCTGTACTGAAATTGAGAATATCTTAGTTTGGTGTGCTAATGTTTTAAAGAATAACAACATTGAGCACCTACCATGAACCACAAACTGTTTTGAAGGCTTTACTTACAAGATTAAGTTTTGGTAAATCCTCACAACCCTAAGAAGAGTAGATGCTGCATTATTTCTACTTAACAGATGAAAAAATTGAAGTTTAGACAGAACATTACTTCCTTCTAATTATGTGATTAGGATTAAGTACTCCTGTTGGATTCTAGATGATGTTTTGCTGTTAATTGTAATGTTTATTTTTGAGGCAAACTAAATTTGAATTAGTTTTATTTGAGGGGCAAAGAACCCCTATGTTTTATAATCTTTGTGAAGCTGAGGTGACTTAATGTTCATCTTATGTGCTACCTGAATATATGTTTGTAATGGAAGTCAGTTACATTTGATATCCTTTTCTCCTAGGCCAGACCAGGGTATCAGCCATCTGGAGAATCTGACAAAGAAAACAAAGTACAGGAACGTCCCCCAAGTGCATCTTCCAGTAGTGACATGTCTCTATCAGAACCTCCACAGCCTCTTGCAAGGTAAAAAGGGAAGAATGAAAGATGATTAGGGCTTTTTCTTTCCATGAAATTTAGTAGCATGGTCTATACTCAGTGAATTTTGTTGACTGTTCTGTGTGAATAAGAGGGCAGAGAGGTTTATTTAGAAATCGGTTAATATTTTCTGATGGATTCTTGAGCATATTGTACATCTGTACTTACTGTATGCCCTATTTTAAATGTCAGATTTTACCTATCCTTTAATGTAAATGTCAATTTCCTCTACAATTGGAAACACTTTAGCTTTCTCTGAACTGAACACACAATACAATTTATTGGATGAGTGAATCTTTTAAAGTATTTGTGGTGAATATTTTTCAAAAGGCATTTCTGTATTTACTGCTATTCAAGATTTTCCTTCTTTTCTGAGTCAGGGTCTTGTTTTGTTGCCCAGACTGGAGTGCAGTGGCACAATCATAGTTCACTGCAGACTCAACCTCCTGGGCTCAAGTGATTTTCCTGCCTCAGCCTCCTGGGTAGCTGGAACTACAGACATAAGCCATCATGCCTGGCAAATTTTCTTAAGGATGTTTTGTTTTTTTTTTTTGTAATATACAAGGAGGGTGATCCCCACAAGAAACAGAATTTATTTATTAAAAATTGTGTATTTATTTATTTTATTTTATTTTATTTTATTTATTTTTTGAGTTGGAGTCTCACTCTGTCGCCCAGACTGGAGTGCAGTGGCCGCTCCCGGCCACCGCAGCCTCAACCTGCTGGGCTCCGGCGATCCTTCCGCCTCAGCCTTCCGAGTAGCCGGAATTACAGGCATGTGCTACCATGCCTGGCTAATTTTTTGATTTATTGTATAGATGAGGTCTCGCTGCCCAGGCGGGTTTCGAACCTGCGGGCTCAGGCAATCCACTCACCTCAGCCTCCCAAAGGCGCGGGATTACAGGCTGAGCCACCGAACCCGGCTAAAAATTGTGTATTTATTCTTGCATGTTTAAACTTCAGTCACAGCCGGGCCCGGCTAAAAATTGTGTATTTATTCTTGCATGTTTAAACTTCAGTCACAGCCGGGCTCGGTGGCTCAGCCTGTAATCCCGCGCCTTTGGGAGGCTGAGGTGAGTGGATTACCTGAGCCCGCGGGTTCGAGACCCGCCTGGGTAGCGAGACCCCATCTCTACAATAAATCAAAAAATCAGCCAGGCGTGGTAGCGCATGCCTGTAATTCCGGCTACTCGGAAGGCTGAGGCGGTAGGATCGCCGGAGCCCAACAGGCTGAGGCTGCGGTGGCCGAGAGCGGCCACTGCACTCCAGTCTGGGCGACAGAGTGAGACTCCAACTCAAAAATAAAAAAAATTAAAAAATAAACTTCAGTCACCTTCAAAGTAGTCTTCATTTGATGCAGTAAACGTGTTGAGATGCTTTTTCCACTACCTAAAACAGTTTTGAGTTCCTCCGTTTTGATGCCTTTTAATGCTTCTGTCATTTTTTGTTTCACCTCTTCTACATTGGCAAAATGTTTCCCTTTGAGGACTTTTTTCATCCGGGAAAACAAAAGTTGCTCAACATGAGATCAAGAGAATAGGGAGGGTGGGGCATAGGGATCATGCTGTTTTACTGAATACTGAGCGTGGGACAGGTGCACTTGTAAATCATTCATCATGAAATGGGCAAATGCATTGAAGGAATCTCTAAAAAAAGTTCACTGAAACCGAATGCAGCCTCTCACAACAATGCCAGTGGGTTCCTTAGAACACTTACCTAATGGGGGAAGCCTATGCTACAAGGAGCCTACCCTCCAAAAAATAATTCCAATTGTTTGGGAGGTCTCCTGCATATTGTTTGCAATAAAGTAAAAAAAAAAAACCTATTTGAGCATGGAAATTAAGGTGATTTTTGAGATTATATGCTTAACAATTATACATTTTGGGAAGAGAGATTTTTAAACTCTTTGAGAATGCACAAATGGAAATTAAATCACTTTACAGATTTGAGTTAAAACATAGGATCCTCTTATCCCCTCGCCCTGAGAATAATAATATTGATAAAAATAGCTAACATCTATTGAGTGTTTCTTAGGTTCCAGGTACTAATCTAAATACTTTGCATGTATTATTTTATTTAATCTTGTAATTCTCGGAGTTAGGCACTGTTGTTATTCCTGTTTTACAGAAGAGGTGATTGAGGCCCAGAATGTAATTAACTTTTTCAAACGTTGAAACATTGGTAGAGATGGGTTTGAACACAGGCAATCTGACTCCCGAAGCCTGTTCTTTTAACTTAACTATTCTATATACTACCTCCTAAAAGTAAAATGTCTCCTATGATATATTTAAGGTTGTAAGTCTATGTCAAACTTTAACTATAAAAGAACCCCAAATTTTTTTGAATATGAATACTTTTAGACAGTATACTGTCTAGTGCATATCAGTTCCATTATTGGTGTCAAACATACTGTGCTGGATTCATGTCTTCAATTTTTACCTTTCTCTGAATTTCCTTCTAATTCTAAACAAATAATTCAATATTTAAAACGAACCAAATAAAACTAGTATTAGACCTTACTATCTTGCATCAATCAGTCCCTCACCCTTCTTTTGATATTAGATTTCTTCAGTCGGTGATGTCTAAACTATTGTCTCCACCTTCTCACAACCCATTCCGTAGCATCTTCATTGCTGTTAATAGTCTTCACATATCTTTATGCTTAAAAGCATATTACTTTATGCTTTCTTTTCCTTGCCTTTCATACTCTATCATTATTTATTAGCTATCTGGAAAACTCCAAATTACATATTTGACTTTGAAGACCTGGAAGATGCATCTCAAAAGTCACTTTCCTTGGCTAACAGAGTCAGTTTTTCCCTGTCTATACTCTGTTGAACTTCATAAAATCTTTGTTTTTGTACTTATGACGTTATATTTTATCTGTCTGTCATCCCTGCTAGATTATGAAATCCTAAAATGTAAGGATTAAGTCTAAATTGGATTAAATATATTCATTTTTGTTTTCCCCTGTTTCTCTACCATCAACATAGCACCTATCATAAAATTAGGATTGTAAATTTTTGAATTTAAAGCTCTTGGATTTTACTTATCAGTATGTTTTCTATTATAACTTCCTTTGTATTCTCATTACTACCATTTTAGCTTAGGCTCTGATAACCCCACATCTTGCATTTGTAATACTCTATTTTCTCTAGCATATAATCTGCACTCTAGTCTTCCTTCATTTCATTCTTCTTAGCAGCAATTCAGTATAAAAGACTGATACAACTTAATCTTCAACCAAATTTTGCATGACATGCTTTTCCATTCCTTTATCACTATGTTTACTCTCTTGGAGATTTTTTTTAAAGCTCAATCATAGGACTTTACATTTATCCATTATAGTTTGATCTAAGTTTGCAGCCTTTACAAATAATTTTGAATCATAATTTGGTCATTTTGGGGGTTAGCTATGCCTCCCAGCTTTCTGTCATCTGCAAATTTGATAAGCATATCTTTATGTCATTATCCAAAAATAATGGACAAGACCAAGAACAAAAACTTCATAGAATTCCTCTAAGCGTTTTCTTAATAGTTGACATCTGTCTTTAAATCTCCCTGTACTATTCCTTAATATAAAAGGAACCTATAGTCTGGAAACATAGGTGAATATAGATAATGTTGTCTAGGAACATCTATATTCTGTTTCTAGATTTATGGACAAATTTTCCTCTATTGTATATTTATAATTGGTACTCATAGTTTTGCATTTGTTTGATGTTCATTAATTTTTTTAGAAGCAGGTTGTAATAATCTCCTTATTTAGTAAACACATTGTTAAACATATATGTTCAGCATTTAGTAAATATTTGTTGATTAGAATATTCTATATCATTAATATCTAGAAATCTTAAGTGTTTCTGTTTAGTATAACATTATTTTTAAAGGGATAGTGCCAGTGTTCTAAAGAATTTTGTCCATAGAGTTTTAAAGGTTTTATTGCTTTCTCTTTAATTAATAGTTTAAAAACATGTAGTGTCTTAGTTGAAAAAAGCAGTTTGCAGAATATTATGTAAGGTAAAGTCCCATATTTGTGCAAGCAATACTACCAAAACAATGTACACAAATGTTTGGAAGGATATAATTCTAAATGAAATATTAATAGTGCCTCTTTTTGATTAAGTATGAATGATCTTTATTTTTTGTTTATCCTTTTTTGGTTGTTATTTATTTATTTATTTATTTGTTTATTTATTTATTTATTTATGAGTTGGAGCCTCACTCTGTCACCCGGGCTGGAGTGCAGTGGCACACTCATGGCCACCCCAGCGTCAACCTGATGGGCTCTGGTGATCCTTCTGCCACAGCCTTCCAAGTAGCCGGAACTATAGGCGTGTGCTACCATGCCCAGCTAATTTTTTTTTTTTTAATTGTAGAGCCAAGGTCTCACCAAGTTGCCTGGGCTGGTCTCAAATCCATGGGCTCAGGCAATCCACTCGCCTCAGCCTCCCAAAGTGCTGAGATTATAGGCTGAGCCACTAAGCTCGGCCTTGTCTGTCCTTTTTTATGTTGTGTGTATGATTGCTTTTATTTTCAGAAAAAGACAAAACTAGTAAAAAAAAAATAGTGGTTTAGTTAACTAACATCTTGTGACTTTCATTTCCAGAAGAGACTTGATGGAACCTACATGGATGCAGCCTGACAGATTGAGCCCACGAGTTCACCATCCTCAACCACAGCCTCTTGTTGGAACAGCTGGAAATTTACTCTCCCATCTCTTGAGTCTAGAACATGTAGGAATTTTGCATAAGGATTTTGAATCTATCTTACCAACTAGGAAGAATCATAATGTGGCTTCAGGGCCATTAACTTTTACACCTCAACCGTATCTGACCTCACCAGCTGCTCATCCAGATGCCTTGTTAAAACCTAGTGCCAGTCAATATAAAAGTAAATTGGATCGTATTGAAGCATTGAAAGCAACAGCTGCTTCTTTGTCCAGCAGAATTGAAAGTGAAGCCAAGAAATTAGCTGGGGCCAACATTAACTATGGGTCAACGTGGAATACTGAGTATGATGTGCAACAAGCACCTCAAGAGGATGGACCTTGGACCAAGCCTATAAGCCCACCTGTGAAAGATAATCCAGAAGATGTTTTCTCTGCCCGAATTCAGAAGATGCTGGGAACCTGTGTATCTCATGCAACTTTTGATGATGATCTTCCTGGTGTAGGCAACCTTAGTGAATTTAAAAAGCTTCCTGAGATGATAAGACCTCAGAGTGCCATATCAAGCTTTAGAATGAGATCCCCTGGTCCAAAACCAGAAGGGCTGCTGGCACAGTTGTGTAAAAGGCAGACTGACTTTTCTAGCTCTGATATGCAAGTCTGTTCTCAAGACAAAGCCAAAATGTCTCTTGGTTCCAGCATAGATTCAGTCAGTGAAGGGCCTCTTCTTAGTGAAGGAAGTCTCTCGGAAGAAGAGGGAGGCCAGAATGGACAGCCCCTTTTGAAGGTAGCAGAAATTTTAAAAGACAAGGAATTTTGTGCTGGAGAGAGAAATACTTATGAACCTATTAAAGAGTTTCAGAAGGAAGCTGAAAAATTCTTGCCACTTTTTGGGCACATTGGTGGTATAGAAAGCAAAGGGCCATGGGAAGAATTGGCAAAGGGAAGTCCACACAGTGTTATTAATATTTTCACAAAATCGTATCAGTTATATGGAAAAGGTGAGAAAAATAATTAAGACTTGTACAATTTGTATGTTATCTTAAGATAAATTATTTCATGGTTTTTGTACAAAATATATACTTCAGTACACATTTTTCATTGTTCATTGTAAGGATGATGGAGACTTATTATTGTCCATATTCGAGATCTTCTAAATTTCCTGCAAAGCTCAACTACAGTATTACTTAATCTTTAAAATTTTATTTTTTAGTTGTGATTGTCATAAAAAATAGTTAACTGATGGTTGCAGAAATTTTAATCAGGTTTAGAGAAATTTATAGGTGACATTCAGGATTGGGTATATATCAAGTGTATACTAGATTTTTCTGTGACCATAGTTAAATGTACTTATTTTAAATAGAAACTAAGTGCGTTTCTTAACATAATGACTTGTGAATCCTAAAAAATGAAGTGGTCAGGAATTGAGAGGTGGGGCTACGGTAGTGTCATTTCTAATATGGAAACAACTCTATTACTGTTTATCTGAACTAATTTTAATAGCAACCAGACTTTGAACAGTAATGTAGATATATTTATAGAGTCTTACAACAGTAACTTCTAAAGTTCACTCTTATTCCTAAAATTCTGCAACATAACTCTCCTTCTCTATGATGGACTAAATTCCTTTAAGTTCCCTTCTCAGTTCTTCCTGCTGTAGGTGGATTCTGCTCATTTTATACTAACATAGCCTTAGAATTTTCAGGTTAGAGGTTTCTATTCTTTATAGTCAACAAATTATTTGACAAATGGATTGCTTTCATCTGTTCATTTTATGCTCAACTGGTTATCACATTGCTTTTTCCTGGAATTCATATTAAGTCACTTCTTTTTTTTTTTTTTCCTGAGTTGGAGTCTCGCTCCTTTGCCCAGGCTGGAGTGCAGTGGCACACATACTCACAGCCACCCCAGCGTCAACCTTCTGGGCTCCAGCGATCCATCCGCCTCAGCCTTCCGAGTAGCTGGAACTACAGACGCACACTACCACACCCGGCTATTTTTAATTTTATTGTAGAGACAAGGTCTTGCTAGGTTATATATATAATCCCAAAATGCTGGGATTATAGGCTGAGCCACTGAGCCCGGCCTTAAGTCACTTCTTTATGATCTTACACAGATTTTTATATGCTGCTGTTCTCTTTTGTTTAACCACTTATTTCTATTCATGGTAATTTTAAATTTATTTTGATGTGAAAGTTCTTTTGATGAAAATAAAGTACTTAAATCAACACCCTTATTTTTTAATAAGAAAATTGAGTTCTTAAATCTGTTAGATTTTCATTAAGATTTTATAGTTAAGATGAAATATTTAGAGATGAAATGATTTATTATCTGGGATTTTCTTCAAAAGACTTTAGGAGAAGTGACAGACAGATGCGGGAATGGATGGTTTAATTGAAACTAATTGTTCATGTATTGGTCATTGTTGAAGCTGGGTGATGAGGATGTTAGTTTGATTATACTACTCTCTTTCCATATATGTTTGAAGATGTTCTAATAAAAAGTTAAATACGTATTGTTAGATATAAAGGTAAATAGAAAAGAAGCACTAATAAAAGCAAACTAAAATATTCCTACGTTCATGTTGCTCTCCACATGTGGAATGCTTTTCTTATATTGTTTGTCTGTTTGTTTTTAACCATGCATCAATGATTACTTTTGACAGGGCTTGAAGACAAGGTGGACAGAGGAACCTCGGCACCACGACCTTTGAATGCCATCACAACCCCTCTGAGCAGTGTTTCATATGAAGATGATTTTGTCTCCTCTCCAGGGAGTGGGACTTTGACAGACAAAAAATCATCTCTTGAACCTCAGTAAGAATATGTTGGCAATATGAAAAGTCTGAGAAGTGAGAAAATGTACAAATGAGAAATGTGATATGAATATTAGTCAAATTTTGCTTGTTTAAAGATTTATGTAGCCAAGTGCGGTAGCCTGTGATCCCAGTAATTTGGGAGACTGAGGCAGGATGATTCCTTGAGCCCAGAAGTTCTAGACCAACCTGGTCAACATAGCAAGACCTTGTCTCTACAAAAATATTAAAAAATTAGTCAGACATGGTGGCACACACCTGTAGTTCTAGCTATTTAGGATGCTAAGGTGGAAGGATCACTTGAGCCCAGGAGGTCAAGGCTGCAGTGAGCTGTGATCCTGCACTTCCAGCCTGGGCAGCAGAGTGACTGACACCTGTCTCATAAATAAATAAATACATTTACAAAAAAGATACATATAGAGACTGCATAGCATATCAGTTATTAAAATCATGGACTCAGCCGGGTTCGGTGGCTCAGCTTGTAATCCCGCGCCTTTGGGAGGCTAAGGTGAGTGGATTGCCTGAGCCCGCGGGCTCGAGACCCGCCTGGGCAGCAAGACCTCATCTCTACAATAAATCAAAACATCAGCTGGGCATGGTAGCGCATGCCTGTAATTCCGGCTACTTGGAAGGCTGAGGTGGAAGGATCGCTGGAGCCCAGCAGGTCGAGGCTGCGGTGGCCGGGAGCGGCCACTGCACTCCAGTCTGGGCGACAGAGTGAGACTCCAACTCAAAAAAGAAAAAAAAAAAAAAATCATGGACTCTGGATCTTCCCGGGTTTAAATCCTGGTTCTCCTGATTATTAGGTGTTTGTATTTGTGCATATCACTTCCTATGCCTCAGTTTCCTTCTCTGTAAAATGGGGAAAATAATAGTACCTCCCTGCCTCACAGAGTTGTTATAGGACCAAATGAAATATAAAGTACTTAGGACAGAACCTATCACACAGTAAGCAGAGAATAGTTTGTCAAATCAATCTGTAATCCCCAGTGTAGTACTAGGCAACTATACCATGGCGTACTAACAGAAGAAGCTTAAGAAATAGTTTCTATTCTGGAATTGAGGAAGAATTGATAGATAGTTGACTTCATGGTCCCAAGTAGTTATTTTATACTCAGAAAAACATCTAAAATTGTGCAAAGATTTGAAAAACAATAACTGTAGTTGTTGTAATACCTAATAATTATTGAGCACTTCATATGCAAGACACTGAGCAGACTGAGGGACTTTACCTATATTAACTCATTTTTATAATAGTCTGATGTGATATTATTGTTATTATTTCTTTTCTTTTTTTTTAAGACAGGGTTCTTACTTTGTTGCCCAGGTTAAAGTGCGGTGGTGCAATCCCAGCTCACTGCAGCCTCAACTTTCTGGACTCAAGTGATCCTCCCATCTCAACTTCTTGAGTAGCTAGGACTACAGGTGCATGCTACCACACCTGGCTTTCTAAAAATCTTTTTGTAGAGATGAGATCTCACTATGTTGCCCAGGCTGGTCTTGAGCTCCTAGGTTCAAGCAATTCTCCCACCTCAGCCTCCTAAGTGTTGGGATTACAGGGCTGAACCACCATACCTGGCCTTATCTCTATTTTAGAGGGGAAACTGAAGCACAGAGGTTAAATTATTTGTACAAAGTCGCATATTAAACAAACCAGACTTTGCTGGAGAGAAATTTTTCTCTAAATTTTGTTACTATATAAATTAATCTATACTTATTCATATTCAATAGCTTTTTTTGGTACATCACTTTTGTACATCAAAAAAATTGCACTTTTTTTGGAGTTGTAGTCTCACTCCGTCGCCCAGGCTGGAGTACAGTGGCATGGTCATGGCTCACTACAGCATCAACCTCTTGGACTCAAACAGTCCTCCTTCCTCAACCTCCCGAAGTTCTGGGATTACAAGTGTGAGCCACTGTGCCTGGCCCACATCACAAATTATAATCTACATAAAATTATTAGATGATTTTATAAAAAATAAGTTAAATCTAGTTGGATTAATAGAAAAATTATATTAGGAAAAGTTTAAGTTTTGATTTTGAACTGTCAAGAAAGTATTACATTTTTAAATACTAAAAACAAGAATTTAATTCTTGTGTGATATTTAACTTCGATATGATTTGATACATTTTATTTTCAAATTGAAGTAATTTATTGTTTTCTATAAGATTATCAGAGGGAAAATGGTTATATAAAATTATAAATTTGAATAGCAACTGAGCCCACATTTTCCTGTATTTGAATATATATTTATATTTGTTATATATATGTTATATTTCTTATGTGTCTGAAGTATTAGATTTTATTGGTTTCACTCATCTGAGATTTTTCTCAGTAATAAATTGAACCATAGGGAACAATACAGGCTTATGGCAGTAAGAAAAAAAAAGTAAAGTAGAAACCATCTTTGATTGTAGTTATCTTCTTCTAGTGATTAAATAGATTCTTAAAGATCTCTAATTTTAGCTGTGTTATAACTCTTTATTTCATTCTTGAATCACTGTTACTTATTCTTTGACAGTATTGGTGGTAGTACTTTAGGCATTCAAGAGGACCATTCTAGCAGAAAGTCCGCCTATGATTTTTCCTCTGTGGATGTTACTTCCCAGCATTCATCAGGAGCCCAGTCAGCTGCATCATCTCGATCTTCTACTTCTTCTAAAGGAAAGAAAGGAAAAAAGGAAAAGACAGAATGTAAGTGAAATTCTACACAGTGACTTTTTCTGTTACCAATGATTTTGTGGGAGTGTTCCAAAGTTATTTGATTCCATAAGAAGTTAGAGGAATTTCTTTATGATAATAATGTAATTAGCTTTTATATTAATCATTAAAATATTTTGATATATAACATTATAAATCTTTTTCTTAATACAAAAGGAATACTTTTACAATGATAAAAAATTAAGAATTACAGATAAACACTCATTCAAGCAACACAAATCCTCCTTGAATCTTCTGTTCAGCAGTAACTACTATTAACATTTTTGATGCATATTTTTCCAGTATATACATAAAGCCATACACATACAGCTTTATTTTAAAAACAAATGCAAATGATAATTGCTTTTAAAAAATTTAATGTATTATATACATCTCTGAGTGTCATTAAATATAATGCTCAAAGTTCCTTATCTATTAAATAGAGATGATAATAATAGATGTTTCATATGATAATTTTCATATATGAAATTAGCAGAGATACTGTGTACATTTCATCACCTAGCACAGTAGCTGACCCATTGACACTCAGTATTTTTGAATGATTAAGATGCCTTTCAATGCCCTCAGTTCTAATGTTGACTGTAATTTGCTCTGTAGGTCTTCAGGTAAAGAGATACAGTGATTAGGCAGAGGCCCCTTAAATTCACAGGATGGTCTCCAGCTTCCAAAAATGTTTTCTTCTAGTAGTAAAAATAAACCCTGCTTATTGTGTTAAAATGGGGGTTGGGGCGGACAAAGTTAGAGGAAAGAAAGCAGTCAATACAGAAAACTATATTTAAAAATAAATCACCTATAGCCCCTTCACTTAGAGATAATCAGTATTAAGATTTATGTTATTTTATTTTGTTTTATTTTATTTTTGAGTTTGGGTCTTACTCTGTTGCCCATGCTGGCGTGCAGTGGCATGATCATGGTTCACCACAGCCTGGACCTCCTGGGCTCAGGTGATCCTTCCACCTTAGGTTCCTGAGTAGCTGGGACTGCAGGCATGTGCTGCCACACCCAGCTAATTTTCTGATTTTTTTTTTTGGTAGAGACAAGGTCTGTGTTGCCTAGTCTGATTTTGAACTCTTGGGCTCAAGTGATCTTCCCACCTCAACCTCGGATCACAGGCATAAACCACTGTACCCGGCCCAATGTTAACATTTAGAAATGTATTATTGTAATCGTAGTAAAATATATATATAACATAAAATTTATCATTTTAACCATTTTTAAATGTATTGTTCAGTGGCATTCAGCACATTCATATTATTGTATAACCATCCCCACCATCCATCTCTAAAACTTTTTCATCTTCCCCAGCTGAAACTTTATACCATTAAACAATAACCCCTCCCACCAGCTCCTGGCAATGTCTTCTGCTTTCTGTCTTCATGGATTTGACTACCTAATATAAGTGGAATCATACAATATTTGTGGTTTTGTGACTGACTTATTTCACTTAGCATAATATCCTTAAGGTTCATCCATGTTGTATCATGTATCAGAATTTTCTTTCTTCTTAAAGCTGAATAATATTCCTTTCTATATATATACCACATTTTGTTTATTCATTTGTTTTTCGTTTGTTTGTTTGTTTTTTTTGAGTTGAAGTCTCACTCTGTCGCTCAGACTAGAGTGCAGTGGCCGCTCCCAGCCACCGCAGCCTCGACCTGCTGGGCTCCGGCGATCCTTCCGCCTCAGCCTTCCAAGAAGCCGGAATTACAGGCATGCGCTACCACGCCCGACTGATTTTTTTATTTATTGCAGAGATGAGGTCTCGCTGCCCAGGCGGGTCTTGAACCTGCGGGTTCAGGCAATCCACTCACCTCAACCTCCCAAAGGCACGGGATTACAGGCTGAGCCACCGAGCCCGACTATTCATTTGTTGATGGACATTTTGTTTTCACCTTTTAGCTATTGTGAATAAAATTGCTATGAACATTGGTGCACAAATATCTAAGTCCCTGCTTTCTTTTTTTCTTTTTTTTTTTTGAGTTGGAGTCTTACTCTGTCACCCAGGCTGGAATACAATGGCACACTCACGGCCACCCCAGCTTCTACTTGCTGTACTCTGGTGATCCTTCCTCCACCTGAGCCTTCCAAGTAGCTGGAACTATAGGTGTGTGCTACCACGTCCGACTAATTTTTGATTTATTGTAGAGATGAAGTCTTGCCAAGTTGCCCAGGCTGGTCTTGAACCCATGGGCTCAGGCAATCCACTTGCCTTGACCTCCCAAAGTACTGGGATTACAGACTAAGCCACCGAACCCGGCCTCTGCTTTCAATTCTTTTGTGTACACACCCAGATGTAGAATTAATTGTTGGATCAAATGGTAATCCCATGTTTAATTTTTTGAGGAATTGTCATAGCGTTTTCCATAGCAGCTGTACCATTTTACATTCCCATCAGCAATGCATAAGGGTTCCATTTTTAAAAATATCTGTGCCAACTCTTTTTATTTTGTTTTGTTTGATAATAGAATATCCTAATGGGTGTGAAATATTAACACTTTTAGTAAGAATCCTTCTTGACAATTTGTAGACATAGATACCTGGGAAATTTTACATGCATGGGATCATAGTTCGAATGCTGTTGTTCTGTCTGTAGATTATAAGTATCTCATTCTGTCAGTATATATGGATTACTATTTTTAAGGACTACCTGGTTTTCTATTATTTGACTATATTATATATTATTTAACTAATTCCCCATTGCTAGATATTTAGGTTATGTTCTTTTTTCCATTATGAATACTACTGCATTGAATATCCTCATAAACATTTTAATACATTCGTCTGTTTTTTTTCCTATAGGGGAAAATCCTAGATTTTAAAATTTTTTAGAATTTTAAAATCCATGTTTAAAATTTGGATTATTTTGCCAAATAGCCTTTCAAAAGCTAGTGCCAGTTTATACTTCCAATGAGAGTGCTAGGAGAGGTTATTTCTTAATTATTAATCTAGTATAGTTCTGCTGCAGATTAGAAGTGTTCTGAAAGTATTTGATAGGACATTTAGACATCATTTTATGCAAAAGTCTGTCTTTTCCAAGTCCTTCCCAACATCTTTCTTTTCTTATGAAATTCAAGTTCCATGAGATAGGCTGTTTCATAGGTGTTCTGAGAATAAAAGCTCCATGGTTTCATAAATTTGGAAAATGCTTTTAGAGTGAAACAGGCTTCTTTCCTATAGGACTCATCAACACTTTAGTATGCTAATAATCATTACTTATATTAGGATAAGGATGAGGCTATACTCTGAAGCATTTTCCAAATTTATTTGACTGGGCAATCTTTTCTTCAGTCAGCATTCTATAGCATTAAAATTCATCTGAACACAGTTTAGGAAATGCGGATCTTACTCAATTCTTTTATTTTGCAATTGTTAATGCTTTTTTAAGTTAGTGGCTTACCTAAGGTCATTGACTTGTTTTTGACAAAGCCCAGATGCTGACTTCTTACTCCTGTATCCAGTCTTCTACTACAATATCCTGCACTATTTTAAAATAACATGGTATATCAGGTATTATCAGTCTGAGCAATATGATTTAATGTAAGTTTTAAAAAATTATAAACTAAAACAGATTAGATGAAGTATAGGTAGCATTTTGTGGTTTCCTTTATCTCTTCTCACAATGCCAAAAATCCCCTATATATTTTACTTTCCATAGCATCATCTTAAACTTAGTTTCTCCTTCATCACCAAGATCCCCAAGTTCTAAAATACATAATTTTTATTTTAGAGGTGCCATCTGCTGGAAAAAACGAGTGTCTGCTTGTGTGTACAAAAATTGTAGTTGAGAGTAGTTGGTAGATTAAAGTGGTAATTCTAAAAATATTATTATTATTATTAATTTACTTTTTTGAGTCAAAGTCTCACTCTGTTAAGTCCCTTATTAGAGTTTAGACCTTTCTTGCATAGAATATTATCTACAATTACTAGTTGTTTAAAGTCAAGAAAAAATTTTAAATTTAATAATTGTTAAACAATAATATTAAATGATAAAGTGTTCTTATGAAAGCATTGCATTTTTATTATAGAAAAATATAAAAATAATCAGTATTAATAGCTTGTTTCTAGCCTAGGAATAATAAGTAGATTTTAGATTATAGAATCCTTTCTAATTGATCAATAATGCCTTAGGTTATTTCTGTTTTAAGTATACAGTTCAGTGGTGTTAAGTACATTTAAATTGTTGTACAGCCATTACCACTACCCATCTCTAGAAATTTTTTATCATCGCTAACTGAAACTCTTTACCTATTGAAGAAACTCTTTACCTACTCTCATTCTTCCCTTCTCCCACCCCTGATAACAAGTGTTTTACTTTCTCTATGAATTTGCCTTTTCTAGGTACCTCATGTAAGTGGAATCATATAAAATTTGTCCTTTTGTGAGTAGCTTATTTCATTTAGCATAATGTCTTCAAGGTTTATCTATGTTGTAGCATGTGTCAGAATGTCCTTCCTTTTTAAAGCTGAATAATATTCCCTTGTATATATACAATACGTTTTGCTTACCCATTTGTCAGTTAATAGACACTTAATGCTGCTATGAACATGGGATACATCATAATTTTTTTCACTTTTCATTTTATTTTGATCTTCATACATCTAAATTAAAAAATGTTTAGCTGCCATTAAAATATATATGCAATTTTGTAATCTGCTTTTTAAAAAAATATAATAGTAAAAATATTTTCCCATTCTGCTATTTAGATGTATAATTAAGATGAATAATATACTAGACTTAGAGACCGGAGACCTGGATGTATGTCTTATTTCTGCTATTGACTGTGGTTCTTTAAGCAAGTTATTAAGCCCCATAGAGCTCTAGTTACCTCATCAATAAATTGAGGATATAGTACTTACTTCATATGATGTTTAAATGCAATATGGTAACATATATGAAGTGTATTTGAAATTACAAAATGCTATTTAAATATTTGAGTTACTGTTATTTATGTCATTTTAGCTAGCTATTATGTTGTTAGAAATGTAGGTTAAATATTTTTAAATTATAAAGTTATGCATTGAATACCATGCATGATTTTTGTTTGTTTCAGTCATCTCCTTTAGATACATCCCTATAAGTAAAATTATCCTGAGTCAGAGAATATGAACATTTGTATGAATCAGGCTACATAGTTCTCGTCATAGAGTTTTTCAAAAGAATTATATAGTTCAGTGACAGCTGATTCCATTTTTTTCCCAGCTCTGGATTTCATCATTAAAAATTTTCTTTTTGGATACTTTTTCATAGGGATAGAGTAGTATTTCATTCTTGTTTAATATACTTGTCTTTTATTACCAGTTGAGCTAAGAACAGTTTACTAATAGCAAGCGGAGAATATTAACGGAAGAAACTTCACATTCCTTAAATGAAGGCAGAAGGATGAACTACTTTATTTTAGACATGAAATAAATTTTTTAAATAGTATTAAGTCCATTTTAAATATTCTGATTTATACTTTTAAAATTATTTAGTTGAAATGTATATGTCAGTTATTTCTCTCAATAACTTCTAATATTGGGATTTAGCTTTATAAGAAATTTACTTTATAGGGTTGGATTCAGTCATTGGGAATGGTCAGAACTCACTTCTTGATGAAGAAAAAGTACAGTCTGGCTCAGAACGTGGCTCCCATAAAGGAAAGAAATCTGGGAACAGTAGCAAGCTTTCTATTAAAGATTATGAGCAGACTTTTGACACCGATAGCACTTTGGAGGATCTTTCTGGACACTCTGTGAGGTAAAGTAATGTATCCTTTATATTGTAATTCATATATAATTAAAGTTACAGTATCATTGTTCTGATAATCCATTTGGTGAATTTTAAGTTGCAGTCTCCTTAACTGTGTATGTCAGCTACTACGAAATCTTTGCTTTCTGAATAGATTTTGTAACTTTGTTCACAGCTGCAACTTTTATGTTTTACAATATGGTCATCTCACTTCTACTGTTATTGTTACAACCTTTCTCTCAGGAATTCTCAGCCTCTAGCACAACCTACCTTTCTATCCTAAGTGCTTGGCTCAGTCTTTTATCCAAGCAACTGTTCTCCTAGGTGTGTTTTGGGAGGTCACAGTTATGCTCTTAGACCAATTCTAAGAGCATAAATCCGTTTGGAGTGTTTTCATTGGGCTACCACACACTATCTCAATTACTTTGTCTACAAATTTTGCTTCTCAACTTTGTTCTTCCACTCTTTCAACATAACTATTTACCATCCTTTTGGAATTACAGTTTATATCTGCCTCTGAGTTTTTCTCTCCTGCTCAACTTATTAGACCACTTAGACAGATTTTGAAATCTCACTCTTACACGAATTATGGAGTTTGCATACTGTACTTTTTCTCCCTTCCTTCTTAACATACGAGGGAGACCCCAAAAAACCCAGAATTTATTTACAAAAAATTGTGTATTTATTCTTGCATACTTAAACTTCAGTCACTTTCTAAGTACTCTCTATTTGATGCAGTACATCTACCGATATGCTTTTTTCACTGCTCAAAACAGTTTTTGGCCAGGAGTGGTGGCTCACGCCTGTAATCCCAGCACTTTGGGTGGCTGAGGTGAGGAGATTGCCTGAGCCCAGGGGTTTGAGACCAGTCTGGGCAACTTGGTGAGATCTCGTCTCCACAATAAATAAAAAAATTAGCCAGATATGGTGGTGCATACCTGTAGTTCCAGCTATTTGGAAAGGTGAGGCAGAAGGATAGCCTGGCAAGTTGAGGCTGTGCTACAAGCATGCCACTGCACTCCAGTCTGGGCAACAGAGTGAGATGACAGAGTGAGACTTTGACCAAAAAAAAAAATATTTTCTTTTAACTCATCAATTTTGATGACTTTTAGTGCTTCTGCAGTTTTTTTTGTTTCGTCTTTTCTGCACCAGCAAAATAGGACTTTTTTCATCCAGGGAAACAAAAAACAGTTGCTCAGGGCAAGATCAGGTGAATAGGGAGGGTGGGGCTTGGGGGTCAAGCCGTTTTTGATGTCATGTGGGCAAGTATGCTTGTAAATCATCAATCATGAAATGGGTAAATGCATTGAATCTAGCTGGTACACTGATGCCAATGAGTTTCTAGAGCACTTATGTAGTGGAGGAAGCCTGTACTACAAGGGACCAACCCTCCAAAAAATAATTCTGGGTTTTTTTGAGTCCCCCCTCATGTATTATACAGTTAGCCCTGCTTACAAATAACCTTTCATTATTGCTACCTGTACAGTTTCTACTTATTTGCCCACATTACCTTTAATCTATTTGCTGATTTTGATCATCTGGAAATTGAGGCTTTGAGGAGACACAGATTTATTTTTTTCTTTTAAATAATTTTGCTTTTTCTAGTACTGTATCACATACAAATAACCATTTTTTAATGCTTTCATGTTGCAAATAATGTTGCATCATTAATGCCATTATTTCTGTATTTAAAATTGGATTTCAATTTGTCAGTGATTTTGAAATTTAGAAAACTTTACTTTTCCTTAAGAGATACTCTGATGATTTGACAAAGTCTGCAAAATTAAACATTTCTAAAATGAAATCCATAGCCAGATAAGTTTGATAAATGCCCAGTACTATAACCTAGATTTCTCTTCCCCACTCATAGAGATTCACAGTGAATAAAATAATTTGAGGCTTTGATAAGGAGAGGTCCAGATTTTCAAAAAATTATTTGACCTGTTTTCTTTTTAACATTTGGCTGTAGACACTCTCTGTCCCCAAACTCTTTCTCTCTCTCTTTTTTTTTTTTTTTTTTTTTTACGTTTTTGGAAAACATATTGACCTAATTGGCAACATACTTTTAGAATTGTCTGGCTAAATTTTCTCTGTAAAGCAAATATAAATTTATCTTGTAAAGCCATAAGGTGAAGTACAGACAGAATACTTTGTTTTGTTTGATTATATATTGGAATTCTTTTTTTTTTTTTTTTTTTTGAGTTGGAGTCTCACTCTGTCACCCAGGCTGGAATGCAGTATCATGCTCACGACCACCCCAGCATTGACCTGCTGGGCTCAGGCAATCTTTCCGCCTCAGCCTTCCAAGTAGCTGGAACTATAGACGCGCGCCACCATACCCAGCTAATTGTTTGATCTGCTGTAGAGATGAGGTCTTACCAAGTTGCCCAGGCTATTCTTGAACCCATGGGCTTAGGCAGTACCTTTACTTCAGTCTCCCAAAATGCTGGGATTACTGGCTTGAGCCACTGCACCCGGTCTGGAATTCTTTAATGGTAATCTATTAAAATGATATTTATTTTTCATAAATGAAATTGTCAGACTGTTATAAACAGTATTTTTCTAAAGCATTGATAGAAAATTAAAGACCAGGTCAACAAATACCTCTTAAGACTACTTTTAATCAGATATTTTTATGTCTGATAGGGAAATTTATGAATAATTTATTCAATAAATAAATACTCAGTTCAAGGCAACTTAATTGGAATTATGAGAAATAATATCTTCAGTGAGCTTACTTTTTCAGAGAGAGACTAGATGTTTGCCTGTTTCAAAGTAAAGGCCTTAAGAGTTGTTATATTCTGAGCTGGTGCAGTAGCTCACACCTATAATTCCAGTACTTTGGGAGGCAGAGGTGAGAGGATAGCCTGAGCCCACAGGTTCGAGACCAGCCTGGGCAACTTAGCGAGACCTCATCTCTACAACAAATCAAGAAAAATTAGCCAGCCATAGTGGCACATGCCTGTAGTTTCAGCTACTTAGAAGGCTGAAATGGAAGGATTGTATGAGCCAGCAGGTCGAGGCTGCGGTGGCTGTGAGCATGCCACTGCATTCCAGTCTGGGTGACAGAGTGAGACTCTGACTCAAAAAAAAAAAAAAAGAGTTGTTATATTCTAACTGTTATGAGCATTAACTTATTAGAAAGTTCAAGAAAGAGATATAAAATTAAAAAGTAGATATAAACAAATAAATATGCTAAGTAATTAGAGTTGAATAGTATGAAGATAATCTTTTCTGTGACTCTTTTGGTTTAACAAAAGAGAGAACACAGAAACAAAGATCTGAGTATCACATGTTCTCACTCATATAGTGGACCTTGAACATCTATCATTATACTATAAGAAAAGGATTGACAGTGGTGGGAAACTATGGGGGGAGGTAGGGAGGGGAAGGGAGGTGAGATTAATGGTAGTTGATATCTGTCTGGGGACAGGGAGACACCCCTTATCAACAAGGGTGCCTGAATGATGCATATTTGTATACCTAACCCTTAACTATACCCCACAATTTTAAAATAAAAAATATGTTTAAAAAAAAAAGAGAGAAGAGCAAAATAGTTTTTATCATTTCTTAGCTCTGTGTGTGTGTGTGTGTGTGTGTGTGTGTGTGTGTGTTGGAATCTCACTCTCTTCCCCAAGGTGGAGAGCAGTGGCACAATATTGGTTCACTGCGTCCTTCACCTGGGTTCAGGCACTTTTTCCATCTCAGCCTCCTGAGTAGCTGTAGTAGACAACAAGTACGTGCCACCATGCCTAGCAATGTTTTTTGGTTTTGGTTTTGTTTTTGTAGAGATGAGGTCTTGCTGTGTTTCCTAGACTGGTCTTAAACTCCTGGGCTCAAGCATTCCTCCTACCTCAGCCTCCCAAAGTGCTGGGATTGCAGGTATGAGCCAGCACACTTAGCCCATTTCTTAACTTTTAAACAAAATGATATTTATCTTTCAGAGACAGATTATAAGATACTTTTATAGATGACTGTGGTTTTTTTTCTTCTTCTTTATTTTTTCTTCTTTATTTTAAAGGTGTGGGGTACAATTCAGGATTAGGTATACAAATGTTCTTTATGCAAGTACCCTTGTTGATGAGGTGTGCCCCTCCCTCCCCTGGCAGTTTCCCTCAACTGCCAAACCCACCCTCCCTCCGCTGGCAGTTTCCCACTACTGCCAATCCCTTTCTTTGAGTATTATGATAATTGTTCAAGGTCCACTTATGAGTGAGAACATATGGTACTATGTTCTTTGTTTCTGTGATAGAACACTGAATATGATCGACTCTAAATCCATCCAAGTTTCTGCAAAGACCATATGTTTGTCCTTCGTTATGGCTGCATAATATTCCATTGTGTATATGTACCACATTTTTTTAAAAAATCCAGTCCAGCTTCGATGGACAGCATGGTTGGTTCCATGTTTTTGCTATTGTGAATACAGCTTCAACAAACATGCGTGTACAGGTTTCTTTTTGGTAGAATGACTTGAGTTCCTCCAGATATATTCCCAATAGGGGGATTGCCGGGTCATATGGAAGGTCAATTTCTAGTTCTTTCAGAAATCGCCACACTGTGTTTCAAAGAGGTTGCACTAGTTTGCATTCCCACCAGCAGTGTAGAAGCGTTCCTTTTCCCCCACATCCTCACCAGCATCTGTTGTTTGTTTTATTATTGATGGCCATTTTAATTCTCAATGTGGTTTTGATTTGCATTTCTCTGATGATTAGTGAGGCTGAGCACTTTTTTTGTTGTCGCTTTGTTGTTTTGAGTTGGAGTCTTACTGGTTGCCCAGGCCAGAGTTCAGTGGCATACTCATAGCCACTCTTGTGTTGATGTGGGCTCCGGTGATCCTTCTACCTCAGCCTTCCAAGCAGCCAGAACCACAGGCATGCACCACCACACCCAGCTAATTTTTGACTTTTTTGTAGAGACGAGGTCTCGCCAACCTACCCAGGCTGGTCTTGAACCTGTGGGCTCAGGCAGTCCACTCACCTTGGCCTCCCAAAGTGCTGGGATTACAGGCTGAGCCACCAAGCCCGGCCTTGAGCACTTTTTCATGTGTCTGTTGGCTGCCCATATATCTTTTATTAAGAAGTGTCTGTTCATGTCTTTTGCCCACTTTTTAATGGGGCTGTTTGTTTTTTTTCCTTTTGGCACGCTTGTGTTTCTTGTAGATTCTAGATGTTAGGCCTTTGTGAGATACACAGTTGGCAGATATTTTTTCCCATTCTGTGGGCTGTTCCCTGCTCTCTTGATGGTTTCTTTTGCTTTGCAGAAGCTTGTCAGTTTGATGAGGTCCCACTTATCTATCTTATCTCTTATGGGCCCTTGGGGTTTTGATCTGGAATTAGTTAACAGTTCTAATTTCCATAAGGGTATCTCCTGCATTTTCTGAGTTTTATAGTTTGAGGTTTTACGTTTAGGTCTTTGATCCATTTAGAGTTAATTTTTGTGTATGGTGATAGGTAGGTGTCATGTTTCAATCTTCTGTATGTGGTCAGCCGGTTTGCTCAGCACCATTTACTAAATAAGTTCTCCTCTCCCCAGTTGTGGTTGTTGGAGACTATCAAAGATGAACTGGTTGAGAAATTGAAGCTTTGCTTCCAGCATCTCTATCCTGTTCCATTGGTTCTTGTACCAATACCAGGCTGTTTTGATTATTGTAGCCTTATAGTAAAGTTTGAAGTCTGGAAGTGTGATACCTCCTGCTTTGTTTCTTTTGCTAAGGATTGTATTGGCTATTTGTGGTCGTTTATGTTTCCGTATGAATTTCTGTATTTGTCATTTCCAGGTCTGAGAAGAATAGTGTTGATAATTTAATGGGTATTGCATTGAATCTGTAGGTTGCCTTTGGCAGGATGGACATCTTAACGATGTTGATTCTTCCTATCCAGGAACATGGAATATTTTTCCATTTGTTTATGACTTCTTGAATTTCTTTGAGCAGTGTTTTGTAGTTCTCATTGTAAAGGTCTTTTGCTTCTCTGGTTAGGAAGATGCTGAGGTAGTTTATTTTAATTTTTTTTTTTTTTTTTTGAGTTGGAGTCTCACTCTGTTGTCCAGACTGGAGTGCAGTGGCCGCTTCCGGCCACCGCAGCCTCGACCTGCTGGGCTCTGGCGATCCTTCCACCTCAGCCTTCCAAGTAGCCGGAATTACAGGCATGCGCTACCACGCCCGGCTGATTTTTTGATTTATTGTAGAGATGAGGTCTCGCTGCCCAGGCGGGTCTCGAACCCGCGGGCTCAGGCTATCCACTCACCTCAGCCTCCCAAAGGCGCGGGATTACAGGCTGAGCCACCGAGCCCGGCTTATTTTAATTTTTTTATGGCTATTGTGAATGGGATTGTGCCTTTGATTTGGTTCTCTATGGCTGTGATTTTATTGCTATATAATATCTAACTATTTTAGAATATTTTGCTTCATACTACACCAAGTGAATCATGATATATGTGCATTGTAGAGGAAAGAGTTAAGTGCCAGTTTAATTAAGCAACTGCCTTTTCCTTATATTTAGGGCAGGATTGGTGCCTACCTTGTTCACCACTGGAAAACTAGCAATTAGAGGAATATTCATGGTCATTCTTTCAGCATAAGGACTATATAGAATGACTAAATGCCTAAATCACAACTTTTTAAAGCTAATGTTGATAAAATAATGTATGTTGTTCTTATGATTTAGCTCCTTTTGAAGTAGCTTTCCTTTTTCTAATGTCTTTATGAAACAAAACTTCTAGTGTCTCACCAGACAAGGGAAGATCTCAGAAAACTCCAACTTCTCCACTGTCTCCAAGTTCCCAGAAATTGTTGCAGTTCGACCTTCCAGTAACTTCATTAGAGAGATCTAAGTCCTCAGTAGTGCCTCCCACTAAAACAGGGTTTAAGCCTAATGCAGCTTTCTCTGATTTAAACCTGGCTGCCAGCAGAACAGCAACAGAGATGGCACCAACACCAGGTAAGTAGACCATACATTGTAATTTTAAAAATAGGATATTATGTGTTTCTCTGATATTTTTTCTTTCAGTTGAGCCATAGAGAAATACTATTTAAAGTGAATGTGATTACTTTTGAAATGTTAAACAAAAACTGTGAGAGAAATTGAATATTGAAAATCTTGACAGATTTATTAATGCTGCTTTTTCCCAACTGGCTAGCATTAGTCAAAACACATATGAAAAATGTATCCCATATATGCACTCCTAAGTGTTTATAGGTATATATGTATGTATGTATACATACACGTGTGTGTGCACATGCACACATAAAAAGGTAGCTGATAAGGTACATTATACAAACATGCCTTGCTTTATTGCACTTGGCTTTATTGCACTTCACAAATATTACATTTTTTACGAGTGAAAGATTTGTGGTAACCCTGCATTATGAAAATCTAGTAGTGCCATATTTCCAAGAGCATGTGCGCTTACTTTTATGTCTCTATGTTCACGTTCTGGTAACTTTCTCAATATTTCAAGCTTTTTCATTATTATTATATCTGTTATAGTGATCTGTGATTGGTGATTTTGATGTTACTGTTGTAATTTTTTGAGGTGCCACAAACTACATCCATGTGAGGGCAAGCTTAATTGATCAATGTTGTGTCCTGACTGCTCCATCAACTGACCATTCCCCCATCTTTTTCCCTCTCCTCAGACCTCCCTATTCCCTGAGACACAATATTGAAATTATGCCAGTTAATAACCCTACAGTGTCCCTTAAGTGTTCAAGTGAAAGGTAGAGTTGCATGCCTCTGACTAAATAAAAAACTAGAAATGATTAAGTTCAGTGAGGAAGGCATGTCAGAAGCCGAGATAGGCCAAAAGCTGGTATATCCTCTTGTGTCAGTTAGCCAAGTTTGTGAATAAAAAGGAAAACTTCTTGAAGGAAATTAAATGTGTTACTCCAGTAAACACTTGAATGGTAAGAAAGTGAAACAGTCTTATTACCGATATAGAGAAAGTTTGAGTGGTCTGAGTAGAAAATCAACCAGCCACAATATTCCCTTAAGCCACAGCGTAATTCAAGGCAAGGCCCTAACTCTCTTCAATTCTGTGAAGACCGAGAGGGGAGGAAGCTGCAAGAAGAAAAGTTGGAAGGTAGCAGATGTTGTTTCATGAGGTTTAAGGAAAGAACCCTTCTTCATAACATAAAAATGCAAGGTGAAGTAGCAAGTGCTGATTTAGAAGCTACAGCAAGTTATCCAGATGATAATTGATGAAGGTGGCTACACCAAACAACATATTTTCAGTGTAGATGAAACAGCATTATACTGGAAGAAGATGCCCTCTAGAGCATTCATAGCTAAAGAGAAAAGTCGATGCTTGGCTTCAAAGCTTCAAAAGACAGGCTGGCTCTCTTGTTAGGGGCCATTGCAGATGGTAACTTTAAGTTGAAGCCAGTGCTCATTTATCATTCTGAAAATTCTAGGGTTCTCAAGAATTAAGCTACATATTCTCTGTCTATGCTTTATAAAAGCCTGAATGATAGCGCATCTATTTACAGCATGGTTTACTGAATATTTTAAGCCTACTACTCAGAGAAAAAGTTTCCTTTCAAAATATTTCTGCCCATGACAGTACACTGGTCACCCAAGAGCTCTGATAAAAATGTACCCTAAGGAGATTAATGTTTTCATGCCTCCTAACACAACATCCATTCTGCAACCCATGGATCAAGTAGTAATTCCAACTTTTAAGTGTTACTAAGAAATGCATTTTGTAAGGGTATAGCTGCCAGAGATAGTGATTTCTCTGGCAGATCTGAGCAAAATAAGTTGGAAACCTTCTAGAAAGGATTCACCATTCTAGATGTCATTGAGAACATTTGTGATTCATGAGAGGGGATCAAAAATATCAGTATTAATAGGAGTTTAGAATGAGATGATTGTAAACCTCATGGATGCCTTTGAGAGGTTTAAGACTTCAATGGAGGAAGTAACTGCAGATATGATAGAAATAACAAGGGAACTAGAATTAGAAGTGGAGCCTGAAGATGGGTCTGATTGCTGCAATCTCACGGTAAAACTTGACCAGATGAGAAGTTGCTTCATATGGAAGAGCAAAAGTGGTTTCTTGAGATGGAAGCTACTCTTGGTGAAGATGCTGTGAACACTGTTGAAATGACAACAGAATTTAGAATACAACACAAACTTAGTTCATAAGGCAGCAGCAGGATTTGAGAGGACTGACTCCAGTTTTGAAAGAAGTTCTGCTGTAGGTAAAATGGTATCAAACAGCAAGTGCTACAGAGACATCTTTCTTGAAAGAAAGAGTCAATTGATGCAGCAGAATTCATTGTTGTCTTATTTAAGACATTGCCACAGTCACTCCAGCCTTCATCAGCCTTCACTCTGATCAGTCAGCAGCCATCAACATCAAGGCAAAACCCTCCACTAGCAAAAAGATTATAACTTACTGAAGGCTCAGATGATTATTAGCATTATTTAGCAATAAAGTATTTTTAAATTAAGGTATGCATATTTATAAGCATGGTGCTATTGCACACTTAATAGAATATAGTATAGTATAAACAACTTTCATATGCACTGGGAAACCAAACAGTTTGTGTGACTTGCTTTATCACATTTGCCTTTTCGTGGTGGTCTGGAACTGAACCTGCAATATCTCCAAGGTATGCCTATACTAATAAGTCCCTGTCTTTCCTATAAAAGAACGCAGGCTTGGTTTGGGCTCTTAAAATTAGAAATAAATTTTAGAAATCCAAAGTGTGATTTCACGTGAATTTTTCCATTTGACAATTGTCATGCCCTCCAGGTTCTAAGCGCTTTTCTCCTGCTGGCCTCCAGCATCGTATGGCAGCAGAACTCAGTTATCTGAACGCCATTGAGGAGTCGGTACGCCAACTGTCAGATGTAGAAAGAGTTAGAGGCATTTCACTTGCTCAGCAGGAGAGTGTGTCTCTGGCTCAGATCATAAAGGTATTTGTGGAGTTTTCTTCTTTAGCTTTCTATAGTATTTTTTTTTTCATAGTTAAAATAGTCTTAATGATGAGTTGACAAAATAATCTTTATGCCGACAAGTAGAAGAAAATAGTCTACCATACCATAAATAATCCTGGGGAAGAGCTATCATATAGGATACTAAAAGAAAACTAGAGATAAAGACTTTGGCAGCAGGACAATAACACAGTCATTCTCTCTGAAATATTTTGTTTTCATGTTTCTGCTTTGTTTTAATGACATTGTAAAAATCAGTTAATCAAACGTTCTTAATATTTTCTCTTTTCATTGGTAAGTCAGAGATGACTGAGGGTTTTTGAAAATGCTTTTTTTATTACAAAAAAGAGAAGTTTCTAAGATCCAGGTGTTTAATAAAGCCAGGATAATGTGAACTTCCTTTAGCAAACAGAAATCCAGAGAATGTTTAAGTAGTGTTCCACAGTAGAGGTGGTTTTTAAATTTTTTTAATTTTTATTTTTTAGCCGAGGTATTAACATACAATAAAATTCACAGATTTTAAGTGTACAGTTTTGACCTGTGTATATGCCTATGTAACAACCACCTTAATCAAGACATAGAATGCTTCCATATTCCCAGAAAGTTGACCTATGGATGTTTTCAGTTAATCCTCCCTCCCAGAGACAATTACTATTCTGATTTTAAGTACCATGGATCACTTTTACCTATTCTAGAACTTCATATAAGTGGAAGTGTACTTTGAACTTTGTTGTGTTCAGCATATTTTATTCAACATAGATTGAAATTTATCCATGTTGTTTATCAGTTTTTTTGTTATGTTTTGTTTTTGTTTCGCTGAATATTATTCCATTGATATCACAATTGTTTATCCATTCTTCTGTTGGTGTACATTTGGATTATTTCTAGTTTTAGGCTACTATAAATATTCCTGCTGTGAACATTTTTTAACAACTCTATGTATACTACATATATTTTCATTTTTCTTGTGTAAATACCTAGGAGTGCAATTGCTTGGGTCAAGTATAAGTGCTTAAAACTTTATAGGAAACTGCTATACTGTTTTCCAAAATGATTGTAACATTTTACATGCCTACAATATATGAAAGCTCCACTTGTTCCATATCCTTGCTTTCATTTAGTATTATCGGTCTTTTTAATTCCAGTCATTCTAATATGTGTAAGATAATATCCCATTGTGGTTATAATTTGCATTTCTTTTATGACTGATGAGGTTGATTATCTTTTTGTGTATTTATTGATCATTCATATATCTTCTTTTGTGAATATCTGTTCAGATATTTTGCCCACTTCATAATTTGTCTTTTAATTATTGAGTTACAGGTAGGAGTTCTTTTGCTTTTCTTTTTTTTTTAAGAGACAAGATCTCATTGTGTTGCTGAGGTTGGAGTACAGTGGTGTAATCATAACTTATTGTAACCTCAAAACTCCTGGGCTCAAGTGATCCTCTAGCCTCAGCCTCCTGAGTAGCTAGAACTACAGGTGTGTACCACCACCTAATTTTTAAATTTTTTGTAGATATGGGGTCTTGCTATGTTGTCCAGGCTGGACTTGAACTCTTGGCCTCAAGCGATCCTCCCGCCTCAGCCTCCCAAGTAACTGGGATTATAGGTGTGAGCCATTACACCCCACTCAACAAGGAGACCTTTTATGGGGGTAACGTTTTTTATGAAACTGCTCCTTAAAAGTCAAAATAAAAGAAAATATAAAATTGTGAGATGTGAAGCGTTATTTTTATTTTTAAACATGAAACTTACTTTTATCTCTTCCAAAGAGTTAGTTACCCTTTGCTTTCTAACCAGCTTTTTGGTATCAGTTCTTGGTCCTGTATGCCTTTGAAATTTTTTATATTAGTATATTATTTGGCATTGGTAGGTGATCACTAAATAGTTCAATAAATGATAAATGACTAATGACTGTTCTTTTTACTGTCTTTCCTTTAGGGTCTGATAAGTTGCTTCAAATGATTTGTGTTAGGAAGGTAGCATTGTATGCATTATAGTCACTGTGTTAAAATAGTTTCGTATCTTAGAATTAATATTTGATCGTTTCTTTATTTTGAAGGCACAGCAGCAACGCCATGAAAGAGACTTAGCTCTTTTGAAACTGAAAGCTGAACAGGAGGCTCTGGAGTGTCAGAGACAACTAGAGGAAACCCGAAACAAAGCAGCTCAGGTGACTTATTTTGCCACAGGTTCTGGTTTTTTAAACCTAAATTTGTATCTTAGAAATCACTTTAGTATTTGTTTATTTTTGAGTTGTGGTCTCACTCTGTTGCACAGGCTGGAGTGCAGTGGCATGCCCATGGCCACTGCAGCCTCGATCTGCTGGGCTCAGGTGATCCTTCTGCCTCAACTTCCCAGGTAGCTGGAACTATAGGCGTGTGCCACCACATCTGGATAATTTTTTTGATTTGTTGTAGAGATGAGGTCTTGCAAAGTTGCCCAGGCTGGTCTCAAACCCTGGGGCTCAGGCAATCCTCTTGCCTCCACCTCCCAAAGTGCTAGGATTACAGGCGTGAACCACTGTGCCCAGCTTAGTATTTTTTTAATTATATAGGAGTAAAAAAGAAAAGATGTAAATAATGGTGTTTTAGTACTATATATATAATACATATATGTATTTGTATATATGTATATATATGTGTGTGGTGTGTGTGTGTGTGTGTATAATTTTTTTTTTGAGTTGGGTCTCATTCTGTCACCTAGGCTAGAGTGCAGTAGCATGATCCCAGCTCACTGCAGCCTTGATTTAATTGGCCTAGGTTATCCTTCCACCTCAACCCACCTCTCTCTTAGCTGCCTCTCATGAGTTAAGACTTAAACCATGAAATCCAGATTATAGTAAAGTGTTTTTTCCATAGGGCATTTGATATATGTAATAAATTTATAAGTTAAAACTGATTTGGGTGGAGGGTATATTGAAACATAACTTCTTTTTCTACCCCCTGTTATTTAAAGGTGCATGCAGAGTCATTACAGCAGGTAGTTAAATCACAACGGGAAGTAACTGAAGTCCTGCAGGAAGCATCTTGTAAAATAGCAGCTCAGCAAACAGAGACTGCTCGCCTCACCACAGACACTGCACGCCAAATCTGTGAGGTCAGAACAACTGAGCAACCTTTTCTTTTTAGCTCTTTTTAGTCAATAATCTTAGTAACTTTAGTCTTACCAATAATGAGCTTCTAACACCTAGCAAATGCATACCATAAATTAGTGACTTTTTGTGAAGGCTATGCCCTATTGAAATAAGAGTCACCATTGATTGGAGTGTGTTATACATGTGAATGTTATAGAGGCAGAAAAAAGTCTCTAAATTTCTGCCCTCTGGTAAACTTTTCAGAATTGTATTGACTTTATTAATGAATAATTTACAGACAATAAAACGCTCCCATTTTAAGTATGTAATTTGATAAATTTTTAACACATACAGGGGGTACCAAAAATGTGTACACATTTTAAGAGATGTTTTCTATGTATAACGTTTCAAAGTTGAATTGAATTACGGTAACAGTGTGTAGTATGACATTCACTCAACCATGCTTCTACCATTTTCTTTAATGGTCCTTCCTGTTGCATAGTGATGCTGCCACTCATTTGATTAACACCACCTTTTGAGCAAATGTCATACTTAAAATGTGTATACTTTTTTTCGCACCCCTGTATATATACATATATCTGCATGTATGTGTGTGTGTGCAAGCACATGTGTATATATATATTTAAGTCTTCCTATAGCTATCACTATAATCAAGAAATAAAATATTTATATCACTTCGAAAAGCTCCCTCATGCCTTTTTGCAGTCTTCAGTCTCTACCCCAGAGAACCATTGATCTGCTCTGGCTTTGTATGAAAATGTTTCCTTTTTACCTAGAATGATGTTAATTGTTATCTTCTCTTTTAATATACCAAGGTTAAGACTAGAGATAGTTTTATTGCATTCTCTATATAGGATATCATAATTTATAGATACAGTTTCATCTTATTTTAGAATTTATAATTTTTTAAAACAAAAGTTAGGACTCTGTGAAATGACTCAGTTATTAAAAATCTATGAACTTACTACATATGTTGGGTGCAATGGAGTTGTATAAATAAGTGTAAAATTGAGTCTCCTTTCTCAAGAAAATTGTATTGTAGACAACATGAACAAAGATTTCAAAGATGTTTAAGTCATCAGTAAAAGAGCTAGCTCAAAATAGTGATTAAATAAATATCAACTGAATAATCCATGTAGTAATTGCAATGGTGTATGATAGTAGGGAAAATATACTTAATGTTGGTTAGAAAAGAGTTAGAAAGGAAGTAGTAATTGGGTTGATTCTTGAAGAAAAATTTAACTTTTGGTTTACTACTGTTTGTTATATGATGTCTGTCTAGTTCATAGATTGTTATAACTGGGTGAAACCTTAGAAATCATGTAGTTCAACTCTTATTTTGATAAGATGAAGCTATTGAGACTTAAAGAGGCTAAATGACTTGCCTGCAATATTTCATCTGTTAGTGGCCTGCTCTCAAGTCATTGGTCTTTCCAAGGCATTGTGCTCCTTCTCAATTTTTCTGTGATGTTAGCTTTTTTATACCTACATTCGTCTTTCTTATGTATGTTTGTATTTAGATGGCAGAGTTGACTCGAACTCATATCTCAGATGCCATTACTGCTTCAGGAGTGCCCCTAGCAGCACTATATGATCACCAGCGGCAGCACCTTCCAGACTTCGCAAAACAACTGAGGACTAGAGCTGAGATAGATAGGTAATATTCATCCATTCAGCCAATACGTAATGAGTATCTATTATGTCCTAGGCACTATTCTGTACACTGGGAAAACAGTTAGGCGTATATAGCCTAGTAGGGAAGGTAAACATTAGTCAAATTTAAGTGAATGAACACTTTCAAACTAAGTTAAGTGTTATGAAAGAAAAGAGCACATCTCAGAGCTGTGTAACCAGGAATTTGAACAATGGGGATACCAACAGGTCAGAAAAGGCTTTCCTGAGGAAGTGAATCTTGTGTTGAGATTTGGTGGATGGGGCGTCAGTGATGGAAAGGAGGTAAAGGATAGGCAGCTGTCCTATTGATATAATGAGGAGAAGGAATAGGCAAATCAAAAGCTCTGAAGGAAGAAGGAACATGGAATTTTTTTTTTTTTTTTTTTTTTTGAGTTGGAGTCTCACTCGGTCGTCCAGACTGGAATGCAGTGGCCGCTCCCGGCCACCGCAGCCTCGCCTGCTGGGCTCCGGCGATCCTTCCACCTCAGCCTTCCAAGTAGCCGGAATTACAGGCGCGTACTGCCAGGCCCGGCTAATTTTTTGATTTTATTGTAGAGATGAGGTCTCACCTGACCAGGCGGGTCTCAAACCCGCGGACTCAGGCAATCCACTCACCTCAGCCTCCCAAAGGCGCAGGATTACAGGCTGAGCCACCGAGCCCGGCTGAACATGGCATATTTAAGAAAAGACCACTGTGGCTGGAGGCAGAGAGCAAAGAGGAGAGTGGTAGGACTTGACACACTTTAGGGTTTTGGGGTTTATTCAAAGAGCAAGGAAAAGACATTAAAGGGATTTTTTTTTAGGCAGGCAGATTTTTTTCCCTTAATAAAGCAGAAGATATTCTTTAATGTGTTATATATTCTTTTCAATGATTGAATACTTTCTTTCTCAAATACTTTGGAACACTTATTTTATAATTTCTATTCATTCAAGGTTTTATCTCATATTACTATTAAATAATTATTTAAAATCTTTCTATATTGGAGACTTTGAATGTTTAATCAGTTTCTATTTTATTTGTAGGAAAAGTCCATCTGTTTTACTCTCTCAGAGTAAAGAAGGAACCATTGACTCAAAGCATCAGAAGTATTCCCCTTCATATGATAGTTATTCTGAGTCTTCAAGATACAAGAATCATGATCGAAGGTAGTTTGATTTCTTCATCAGTACAGTTTAGTAAACTCTGAAAAATGGCTTAAATATTGCTTTTCTTTGACTTCTTAATCTTGTTTCTTTAAATAGAAGTGTCTTCCCTTCAAAATGCTGGCTTCCCCCATTTAATTACCAATTTACAAAATAATTGGTTCATGTAATAAAATAGTTCCTACTCCTTGAGAACCTACATTGTAATAAACATTGTATGAATTGTTTTTCCTACATTTAATTTTCACAACAACCTTCCAAGGCATAGTATTACAGTCCTAGACTAGGAAACTCAGCCTTATGGAGATATTAAGAAATTCACTCAAAGTCATATAGATGGTGACATACCAAAGAATTGGACCTTGATTTATGTGACTACAAAACTTGTGGGTTTTTTGGTTTGGTTTTGTTTTGAGTTGGGATCTCACTCTGTCACCCAGGCTGGAGTGCAGTGACATGATCATGGCTCACTGTAGCCTTGACCTCCAGGGCTCAAGCAGTCCTTCTGCCTCAGCCTCCCAATTAGCTGGGATTCTGTAACTACACGCATGCATCACCTTGCCTGGCTAATGCTTTTGATTTTTTTTTGGAGAGATGGGGTCTCGCCATGTTGGCTAGGCTAGCAAAGCTTTTCTTTATTGCACATTTCCTTGTTGACATTGATACTTCTTGACGTTAATATATGTACTAATTTTTATTATGAAAAATATTGAATAGTTTGTTACTGATACTTAGCACAATATTTATGTCTATAGTTTTCTCAGATGATTCTGCTCTCAGATTAGAATGCTTTCCAGCATTCCTAGAGGTAAGATACTGGCAATATCAAGTACAGTAAAACCTCAATTTAAAAAATTAAATCATGAGACTAAAAAACATAAAAATTAATGTGGTAAAAGTACCAAAAGTTATTGAGTACCTTCTGTGTCTCTGAAACAGTGTGAGTTTTATTTAGCCTTTACTGACACTTCCTTCACTGGCACTTACTTCATTTTAGCTGTCATCTGGATTACTGTAGTGAACACTAAAAGGTCTCTCCGTCCTCTAATCTTTCTTCAACCTGTTCACTCATCCATGGTAACCAGAGTGAGTTTTCTAAAATTGGTGGCCAATTTGAATATTCACTTGTTTGAAACTTTCAATATTCCCTCAGAACATTCAAGGTAAAGTCCAGATCACTAGGCGTAGCATAAAATATCCACTTATAATTGAACCTTTGGTTCATCTCTAGCCCTGTTCCTTGACATTTCTCCCCTTGTCATCCTTCACTAATTCTAACTCCTTACAATTGTCTAATGTCTCTGTGCCATTACATATGATATACCTTCTTTCTAGATTCTTCTCCCTCCATTTCATGTAGTTTACTTTTATTTACACTTCGAGAATCAGTGCTATCCTAGTCTGCTTTAGATATCCTTTCTGTGTTCTCTCACAGCACTCTGAATATGGCTCTTACAGTCTTGACCACCCTTTATATCCCTGTTCCTTTGCTTTTCCATTACATTCTAGACCAGAAGTTCTTTGTAGGTGTCATTTTTATCACCCTCCCCCCCAAAAAACCAATATCCGTTAGAATACTTCCTATTCTCCCCTCTGGCAACCACTATCTATTTTCTATCTCATCCTCTCTAGATTTACCTATTCTGGATTTTTTTTTCCTAAGTGATTTCACTGTAACATGTGGTCCTTTATGACTGACTTCTTTCACCTAGCATAATATGTTTAGGGTTCATGTATGTTGTAGTATGTATCACATTTCATTTATATGGCCGAAGAATATTCTATTGCATTATATACCACATTTTATTTATACATTCTTCAGTTGATGGATATTTGGGTTACTTCCACTTCTTGGCTATTTTAAGTCATGCTGTTGTGCACATTCATGTTGCATGTTTTTTGTGGATATTTACGTTTTCGTTTCTGTTGAGTAAATTCTCAGGAATGAAATTGTTGGGTCATATGATAAGTCCTATATTTAACTTTTTGAAGAACTGCAAAACTGTTTTCCAAAGCAGCTGTACCATTTTACATTCCTACCATGAATGTAAAATGTTTCTACATCCTCATCAACACTTGTTATTGTGTGTTTTTTGGTTACAATCATCCTAGTGGGGACTATGTGTGCTTGTATCATCAGAGCTTAGCGAAGTGTCTAGCACACAATAGGCAATTTACTATATATTTGAGTCAATGATTGGCACATAACTACTAACTTGTAGAATTGGGATTCAACCCCATGTTCTTCTGAATCCAAAGTCCCTGCTCTGTGCTGCATTGTATCTTTTACCTTATAGTTTTATTAGAAGACTTATCCTTTCAAAAACAATTATTAAACCAGACTATTGCATTATATTTTGATAAATACTATTATAGAAATATACACAAAAAAACAGTATCAACACAGCGACAAAAGTGACCTAACCTTCCTTGAGAGTTGGGGAGGGGTCCATGAGAATGTCGCAGAAATGACACTTAAGCGAGTCTTGAATTAGTAGTTCATTAGGCAGGCAGAAAAGGAAGGGAATTTTAGAAGAGGAAGTAGAATGAACAGAGAATCTCAAAACCTGGCTTGAGATAGGTTCCTAATGTACTTTTTAAAAAAAATAAATGAATGAATAAACCAAGAAAAACAAGGAGGAGAAATGAAAACATTTGAAGGAATATATGTTTAGTTTGTTGGCGGAAGGATTGCTGAAATCAGAAATTCATTTGGTATTTGGATACTTGAGTCGTAAGTCAGGGGAAAGGCAAAGCTAGTAGTGCAGATGTGAGGCTTAGTCTAAATGATAGCTGTTGAAGATATAGGGATGTATACGATTGCCCAAGGAGAATATGTAGCATAAAGATAAAAGGACCAGAACAAACCCTAGGGAATACCATCATTTTAAGGAAAGACAGAAAAATTAAAAGCAAGTGAAGAAACATAGGAAAACTTGTTAGGGTAGTTGGAAGTGAAGCAGTGAGAGTAGAATCATGGAATATAAGAAAGGAGAGCTCTTCTGTTTAACACTTAATTTGGCATGATTTTAGGCTTATAGAAAATCTGCAAGGTTAATACAAAGTCTCAAATACCTTTCATCCATATTACCCTAATGTTATCATTTTACTATTTTCTTCAGCAAGTAGAGCTTTTAAAGAAAGAGATAGAGATCAGCACCATCTAATGTTGCAGAGAAGTACATTGTCTATTGGATCAGCTGCTTAGAAGCTTAGGTAGAGTTTATCAAGAACAGTTTCAGTAATGCAGTTGGGATGGAAGCAGCTCGTGATAAATCAGGATGTTAATGGAAAGTAAGTGGAAACAGTACATAGAAGCCCCCTTTCCCAGAAGTTTGATTTTGAGATGAAAGAAAAAAAGAGAGTGATAACCTAAGAATAGTGTTTGTCTACTACGATTATTTAAAAGTGAACCCTTGCTCTCCCCTACTCATCTTTTCCAAAATAGTTTATTATCAGACTTACGTCTACTTAACTTTTTGTGTTTTATATTACATCTTTATTTCATATCTTGATTATAAGGTGCAGTTTTTTGGCCAAGTAAAAATTTACTTTGAAACTAGGATCCTTCTCTTACTTATTCTTTTGGTTTGTTTCCACAATACCCGCAAGCAGAAGTAGTAGTGGTAGCAGCCGTCAAGAAAGTCCTTCAGTTCCAACTGGTAAGGAAAATGAGAAGAAACTTCATGGTGAAAAGATGGAAAGTTCCATTGATGAACAGGTTCAGACTGCTGCAGATGATTCTTTACGAAGTGATAGTGTTCCATCCCTTCCTGATGAGAAAGGTAACTTTCCTTGTACATATATCCACAGTTATTTGTATGGAAACTCAGGAAAAGATAATTGTTATTATAAAGTGGTAGATAACTTGACTGAAACTGTTCTAGAGCTTTGTGGAAGTAGAAGTTAAAGGTGATGGACTTGGATATTTAGCTGAGATTTTTTAAAGCAAAGTGTTGAAGGTGTTTCTCCTAAGTGCTTATGGTAAATTAAAGGAATTGTTAGGCACAAAGGAACCAGAACTTGAAGATTTGGAAAATTATCCACCTAGCCATAATTGCAAAAAATGAGAAAGTATGTGCTGGAGAGAACATAAAGACTGTGGCTTGACAGTCACTTCATAAAGAGATTATCCAGGGATTTGGTCAGCCATCTCAGCAGAAGCCACAACAGAGATGACATTATACCAGCAGAGACACTGCCAGTTTGGAATAAAGAAGTCAGGGTGAAATAAAGGAGGGCTTTCAGACTTCTAGGATTCTGTAGGATGGGGCAGTAAAGCTTCTCTGGCTGTGAGCATGAATATCCTTTGAGAAAAGGGAAATTAGAAATCAGCAAGGCTGCCACTGTCACCACAGGCCCAGGTGGCAAGGCTGTCTCTTTCTTAGTCTCAGAGAAGGTGGCCATCTCCTCATTTTTAGGGACCTGTCTGCTTCTGCTCATGGCCTCAGGGCTGAGGGTGTGAGGCTGCTACCCTAGTGGGCCTGGAAGGCAGGACTGCCATTTTAATGGGCCCAAAAGATGGCGCTACCATCACAGTTGGCCCAGAGGGCAGAGCATCAACCAAAGAAAAGTATTTTCTAACCTTACGATCTAATGAAATTTGCCTTGCTAGGTTTTGGACTTGCTTGGGACCTGTCACCCCTTTCTACTTTTCCAATTTGTTTCATTTGGATGGAAATGTCTATTCTGTGCCTGTTTCACCATTGTATTTTGGAAACACATAATTTGTCTGGTTTCATAGGTTCACAGCTGGACAGGAATTTTGCCTCAGGATAAATTGTACCCCAGGTCTGACCCATATCTGATTTAGATGATATTTAGATGAGACTTTGGACTTGGATTTGATGCTGGAATAAGTTAAGACTTTGGGACTGTTGGTATAAGGTGAATGTATTTTGTATGCAAGAAGTACATGAATTTTGCAGGGCCAGAGGGTGGAAGGAATTGTGTCCCCTCTCAGAGGTGTATGTCGGTGTCCTGAGTCCCCATGTGACTATATTTGGAAATAAACCCTTTAAGGAAGTAATTAAGGTTAAATGAGAACATAGGGTGGCCTCTAATTCAATAAGACTGATATCCTTTAAAGAAGAAGAAGAACCAGAAGTGCACACATCAAGAAAAAGTCAAGAAGGTGTTTGTCTGCAAAACAGGAAGAAAAGCCTCGTCAGACCTTCTGTCACCTTGGTCTTGGACTTCTAGCTCCAGAACTGTGAGAAAATAAATCTATTGTCTCAGCCACCCATTCTGTGGTATTCTGTTATGGCAGCCCAAGCAAATTAATGCAATAGTTTATAAATACTGGGAGGCAGCCTCAAATTTCTTAGATAAATATACACAATCAGAAATGTTTTGTGGGCCAGGCACAGTGCCTCATGCCTATAATTCCAGCCCTTTGGGAGGCTTAGGCAAGAGAATTGCCTGAGGCCAGGAGTTCAAGACCAACCTGGGCAATATGGCAGGTTCTTGTCTCTATAATAATTTTTAAAAATTAGCAAAGCATGGTGATGAATGCCTGTAGTCCCAACTCCTTGGAAGGCTGAGGCGGAAGGATTGCCCGAGTCCTGCAGGTTGAGGCTGTGGTATCCATGTTCATGCCACTGTACTCCAGCCTGGGCAACACAGTGAGACATCAACTAAAAAAAAAAAAAAAAAAAAAGTTTGTGAACCTGTTAGGTTAAATGGTAATGAAATTTGTTTGGATCAGATCTCATGATGACAATTTCCATATCATGGGAGTAATAAAGGATACAGAGAAATAATATAGGGATTATCCAAGTGTCTCCCATAGGACAGAGTTAACCTCTACTAAATTGTTTTCTCAATAATGATGGTGTTTGTAATTAAAGTACTAATGGCAAATTTAATTATTGATAATATATGTGAGCCTTATAAGGAAAACAGTAACCATGCATGACTTATTTCATGCCATATCTCAAGTATTTGCCATGCTAGCTTCCAATAATAGTGAATAAATAATTGTCAAGTGACTATTTTAAAATGCCATGAAAAATGACTTTTTAAAATTTATTTAATTTCTTTAGACAATATTAAATTACTTGCACTACTGCTACTTCAGGTCATAATGAAGGAACAGTGACTAGATTTACCTTCCCTCCTAAAACAAGTAAAATACCAGGCAAGACATATGAAATAACTGGTTTCAAGACATTAGACATCAAGCAGTTGATGATGTTGACTCTTGAGAGACTCAAAACAGATGAGTGCTACAGTTTCATCAGTTACTATCTAGAGAATTTCCAGACTGCAGAGCATGGAGCCCATTGGTCACCTGAGTTAAGGAAATGGAGGTTAGGAGTCTGGATAGGCCAATGAAGCTAGAATTCACAGGGCAACTACAATGCAAAGAAACTGAAAAATTAAAAAGCTCACATGTAGAAGAAAACATAAGAGAAAATCTAGGTGACTTTTAGTTTGGTGATGACTTATTAGATTTAACACCTAAAGAAATCAATGAAAGAAAAAAAATTGATGAGTTGTACTTAGAATTAAAAACTTCTACTCTGAGAGGCAATGTTAAGAGAATGAGAAGATAAGCCAGATTGGGAGAAAATGTTTGCAAATCATATATATTTGATAAAGGATTTATATCCAGAATATTTAAAGAACTCTTAAAACTCAGTAACAGGAAATCAACAAAACAATTTAAAAACGCATAAAAGATCATAACAGTTCATTGAAGAAAATATACAGATGTCAAATAGACACAGGAAAAGGTCTTCAGATTTTAATTAGAGAAATTAAAATCAAACTCACAAGATACACTTTGTGCAGTATCTAGTAAGATACCCTTACTAGAATGGCTAAAATCCAAAAAACGGACAATAACAAATTGGTGGCAAGGATGCAGAACAACAGGAGCTTGCATTCATTGCTGGCAAGAATGCAAAATTGTACAGCTATTGTGGGAGACAGTTTCATAGTGTCTTATAAAACTTACCGTATAACTTAGCAACACATGCATAGGTATTTGCCAAGCTGTTTGAACTTATGTCCACCTAAAAACCTATTCACTAATGTTCATAGCAGCATTATTCGTAATTGCTAAAAACTGGAAGCAACCAAGATGTTCTTAATGAGGGGAATGGACAAACAAGTTGGTACAGCCATACAGTGAAATACAATTCAGCTATAAAAAGGAATAAGCTTTTGATTCATGCAGTAGCATGAATGAATTTTATTTTATTTTATTTTAGTTTTTGAGTTGGAGTCTCACTCTGTCGCCCAGACTGGAGTGCAGTGGCCGCTCTCGGCCATCGCAGTCTCGACCTGCTGGGCTCTGGCGATCCTTCCACCTCAGCCTTCCAAGTAGCCAGAATTACAGGTGCATGCTACCACGCCCAGCTAATTTTTTGATTTATTGTAGAGATGAGGTCTCGCCTGCCCAGGCGGGTCTCGAACCCGTGGGCTCAGGCACTCTACTCACCTCAGCCTCCCAAAGTCGTGGGATTACAAGCTGAGCCACGGAGCCCGGCGCATGAATGAATTTTAAATGAATTTTACTAAGTGAAAAAGCAAGCCAAAAGTCTTGTAGTGTGTTATATGACTCCATTGATATGACATTCTGGAAAAGGCCAAATTATAGAGATGGAAAACAAATGAATGGTTTCCAGGCATTAGGGGGAAAAGGAGATAGTTGACTACAAGGGGGATGCACAGGTAATTTGTAGGGTGAAATAACTGTCATATATGGTATTTATATGTCCTATATGATGTTATACATTTGTCAAAATCCTGAAACTGTATCACAAAGAGTACATCTTAACATGTGAACCAAACATGCACACACACATCAAGCAGGATATTGGGAGATGCTAAGATGGAATGCAGTCTGTAATTGGTGAATCTCACTGTATTACAAATATATGGCAAAACCACATTGAAGGGGGGGGTAGAGGGAAAAGAGCTAGTATAAGTGCCTTCAGAAAATTGTATTTTGAGTGGAAATGATAAGCCTAATACAAAAGGAATAGTACATAAATCTATACTCTTGTTGACAAATTTGTTTTTTACAAGGGTGCAAGTTAGCAGTTCTTTTATGTGTATTTGGGTTGTACAAATGGGCATTGGATGGTGGGAACTAGGTTTCTCAGTGTTGGAGAGGGAAGTTACAGATACACAAGAAAGGAAGACTAGAATGATCTCTGATACTAGATTAGACTCAGAGATAACAGTGTGAATTCATGTTTTCACTGACTGGATGGATATAAAAGCAAATGAAACCAGTGCTCTTTGGAGAAATGACTGATTCTAGGGCTGCAGACAAAATGTAAGATGAGCCAGGAGCATCTTGTAGTGTCAGAAAGTGAAGTATTCAGTAAACAAAACGATGAGAGGCAGACGTGTCAAAGGCAAACAGGAACCAACCTGAAAGAACTGTCATGTTTCTAATTAAGCATGGAATTAATGATGCTTTAAAAAATATTTTAATTTGCATTTCTTTGATTGCTAGTAATGTTAAATTTGTTTTTCACTTTATTTTAACTTTATATTTCCTTTGTGAAGCATCCGTCATGAACTTTTCTCATTTTTCTATAGGTGTATTAGTGGTTTTCTAATTGATTTATAAGAGCTCTTTAAATATGTTGTACATTAATCATTTACCGTATGTCTTGTTCTAGTATTTCTAGGTATTTTAGAGTTTTTTCTTATTTACAAAGTAAATGAATTTTATTATTTCATGTAACAATTAATAAATTGCTAGTGATCTGAATTTATGTTAGATTTATGAAACAAAAAAGGCTGCTAACTGAATACCTACTGAGAACGGTTTATAGTGATAAAAACTGCTTTCTCCATATCTTTTAGATTCAACTTCTATTGCAACAGAATATTCTCTGAAATTTGATGAGTCCATGACAGAAGATGAAATAGAAGAAAAATCATTTCGATCTTTACTACCTTCTGAGAGTCATCGCAGATTTAACATGGAAAAGAAAAGAGGTCATCATGATGACTCTGATGATGACGCTTCCCCAGAAAAGACTACACTGTCTTCTGTCAAGGTATGTTTTGGTTTGTATGTGGAGGTAAATGGTCATCGATGTGTTCTCCCAAAGGTATGAGGATACATTTTATACTTTGACTCAATTGTCAACTGCCAGAATGATTTTTTCTAAGATATCCATTTTATATTTTTCTTATAAACTGTGGCTTCACCTTCGTTGTAAAGTAGAATACAAACGTATTTTTTGGAATAGTATATAAGGTCTTTGAAGATCTAAGCTATATTCTCTCTATAGCTTTTTCACTTGCTTCAGTCCTCTAACACTTTATTCCATTTAGAAATTTGCATTCATTCTTCCTACCAAATTGTAAACCTTTTGGTTAATGGGAACAAATTCTTACCTCTCTTTGTGTCCCTGGAACAGTAACTGGCTTGCAGTGGTTGTTTATTAAAATCTTATTGACTGACTAAATTACCTCTTCTGTGCCTTTTTAAAGAATGTTCTCTTACGTGGTTGGTGGCCTTGTTCAATTTATTTTTATAAATGCATATCTCATTTAATAAAGTTAAATTTCAAAAGGTTTAGAAGATGATAAACTTGAAATAAAACTCTCTGCTTTAGGAGCTGAGCATGCCATTCTCAGGAGGACAAGATAGCTTCTCTAAGTTTACTATGGAGATGGTTCGACAGTATATGAAAGAGGAGGAAATGAGGGCAGCTCACCAGTCTTCACTCCTGCGTCTCCGTGAAAAGGCCTTGAAGGAGAAAACTAAGGCTGAATTAGCCTGGCTAGAGCATCAAAAAAAGTAAGTTCTTTCAGTGAGTGTAGTTTTCACTAATTTTTTCTTTCATAAAAAAGAAATGTTTTATGTTTTAATATGTTTTTATTTCCTCATGTAACTTGATTTGCGCAACCTACAAATGTATCTCAATTTGAGCTAGAAACGTGGCAGTCATACTTGATTTGTGTGACTTTTAAGACCTCCTTCCTACCTACTTAACATTTTCTTTGCATATTTCTTTTGTCACTTAACTGACTCTCATGTTGTCATTTTATATTTAATTCCTTTACAATGTTGTAAATTTCTCAAAGTCCTTCTATCTTTAAAGAATACAATCTAGGGTTTTCATATATACTCAGTAAAATACTACTGAGACATGAATTGCTGCATGTAGCAATTAGCTTCTACATTTGAACATGTTATATTGGGTCTGTAGACTTTTTGGTAGTCAAGAATTCTTGACATTATACAGGTAATAGAAATTTAATCTAATTTTGTCTCAATGAAAAATATTATTTGCAGACATCTACGAGACAAAGGAGAGGATGATAAAATGCCTCCACTCCGGAAAAAACAGCGTGGTTTGCTCTTAAGATTGCAGCAAGAAAAGGTATGTCAGGAAAAAACACCCTCTTAAGACAGATTATCACACGACAAGATAGTTTGTGGAATATACTATTTTGCCTCATCTTTTTTCTTATTATTGCCTTAATAACAACAGTAGTTGATACCACTGTTTATGCCCATGCTACTATAATTACAGGTGTGTTGCTTGGTAGTCTACTATATTTCTCCTAAATTAGAATTATGTGTCACTGCTAAAATTATACTAATACAGTATTCAGTCAAACCTTCTGCCTTCATGTAAGTAAAATACTTTGAAATCTTTTGAAATGCATATTTTAGAAATTAAGGTATGTGTAAAAGAATCTATTTGGATTAATTTTTTAGTTATTGTTTCCTCAAATACGTTCTCATGAAATATAGATTACTTATAGACAAATATTTTGGCTTGGTGGACTTAGAAAGACCTAAGTTCTGAAGAGGCATGGTGGTGTGGTGGAGAGTTCAGGCTCTGGAGGCAGATTGCCTAAACTAAAATCCCAGCTCTACCAATTACTAGTTTCATAACCTTGGACAAGTTACTTAATATTTCTGTGTCTCAGTTTCCTTATCTGTAAACTGAGGATAATAATAGTAACATACTTTAGGGTAGCTGGGAGGAATGAGTTAATACAAAAAATAAACTTAGAGCACAATGGCTAAATGCTCAATAAATGTTAGTTGTTATTATTGAATTCCAGCTTTGTCCCTTGCAACTGTGTAATTTTTAAGTAGCTCTCTGAAGCTTAATTTCCTCATCTGTAGGAGTGGGATTATACTTCATATGGTGGTGTGAGGATTAAATGAGGTAACATGTAAAGTGTGTTTCGTGGTGTCTGGTAAGTAATAGAGTCTAGTTTTGTTCTCACTTACTGACCTGTTATTAGGTACTAACTACTGTGTTAAATGGTTTATGAACCTAATTATTTGAGTTATTTATTAGATTATCACTTAAATAGTTTTTAAAATAAATTCATCCCAGGAAACATTACTGATGATGTGAATTTGAACACATTCTGAACTCTGTTTTTGAAAAGAGTGTTGTCTTTTTAATCCAAAAAAAATTATTTTTAAATAAATTAAAATTTTTTCTTGATTAAAATAAATAAATATATAACTTTCTGTAGTGTTATATAACTGTTTATAAAATAGAACAAAAATTAGATTTATAAATATTTTTTCCTCCCGTTCTGTGGGGTTTCTTTTCATTTTCTTGATACTCTCCTTTGAAGCATTACATTTTTAATTTTGATATATCTGGTATTTTATGGCATGCCAACTAACAATACATTTTTTGTTTTGGTTTAAAAATATTTCATTTTTATTTTTGAAAGTTCTTTTAATTGGTATAGAATTATTTTCTTTCAACACTTTTAAAGATATTTTCCAGTGTTTACCAATTTCCATTGTTTCTGTAAAGAGATCAGTTGTCTTAATGTTGTTCTTTTGAAGGCTCCTCTTAAATTTTTTTTTTAATTGTCTGATTTTTTAGTAATTTTTCTATGATGTGCCTAGATGTAGTTTCCTTTGTATTCAACTTATTTTTGTTTGCTGAGCTTCTTGAGTCTATGGTTGGTTGTATTTTATCCATTTTTCAAAAATTATCTCTATGTATTGCTTATGCCCTATTCTCTTTCTCCTTTCCTTTAGGGACTTCAATTAGACATAGTCTCTCCTGATTTGTTTTGTTTTTATTTTATTCTTAAAACAAAACAAAATAAAAATATTGTGCTTCTATTTGGAAAGTTTTTATTTACTTGTCTTTTATTTCATTAATATGTCTTCTGCTTTGTTAAATCCATCCAGTGTGTTCTAAATTTGACTCTTTTACAATATCCATTTTGTTCTTTTTTTGTAGATTTTAATTTTTGTTGAAAATCTCTGTGTTAATCTATCTTCTATACTTTTTATACACATTCTTCATAGTTTCATTAACTTTCTTGTCTGCTATTTCTTCCTTATCTACCAGTATTTGGCCATTTGTGGGTCTACTTCTGTCGTCTGTTTTTGTTTTTCATTATCATGTGGTCCTTTTTCTTTGCATGCCTAGCAGTTTTTTTACTGGATACTGTTTATAAATAACTACAAAGGCTCCAGTTGATGTTCTCTTTCTCCAGAGAATTTATCTTTTATTCTGCTATGCTGTTAAAATCATCAGCTGTTCACCTTAATCTCTTCAGAGACTGTACTGGATTAGGGTTGGGCTATAGATTTAGTAACCTTCAGTCTACTTCTGGTTTGCATTGTCCTTGGGTTGTGGTTCTCCAGGGATTCACTGGGAAACCCAGGTAAAACTTTTTTACTCAACATAGGAGACTGTGGGAATTTTTCTGATTTTGAGAGGTTTCTGTCTTAGCTTTCTATCTGTTGCTTCAGAATTTGATAAATGCTTTAGGGAGCTGATGTGAGTCTCCAGTTTTGTGACTCCAGCTCAGTGTAGCTGGTTGGAGTGTCAATTGGTGTAACCATCTTAAAGCAATTGACTGCCTAGTTAAGAGCATGCATAATATATGACTCAGCAGTTCTGTTTTGGTATATAATCCTAGGTAAACTTTAACATGTGTGCAGGAGAAAATAGAAACAACTTCTTCAGTAAGATAATAGATGAAACAAACATATTCTTGCAGGAAAATATAATACTGCAGGAAAATAAATGCATGATGTATCAGCACTGTCTATAGATTTCTGAAGTGATGATAATATTCTATATCTGTGCTACCCAATACAGTAGCTCCTAGCCACATGTAGTTAGTGGTCATCATATTGGACAGTATAGCATTAGATCATCATTTATCAGAACCATAATGTTGGTTTTTATAGAAAAGGAAGATTGCAAAGAATATGTGTAGTATTATACATATTCTTAATAAAAGTTAAAAAATAATCATCAATTTTAAAAAGTAATCAATTAGTAATATATGTTCTGTGGAATCACTTATGCATCCGAAGCACATGTGGGGATGATACACTTCTGGGGAAGAAACAAAGGAAGAAGAGATTGGGGTAGAGCTTGGTTTTACTCAAGATGATTTACTTTTGGAATAGAGATTTGAAACAAATACGGAAACTGTTAAGTATGTTTAATGCCAGCAGTAGGTGTTTGATTGACTACTTACTTTTTCTGTTTGTGCTGCTTCAGAGTTTTTTTTAAAGTAAATGTGTACAAAGCACTCTTTGATCCAACTGACTGTCCCCTAGAAAGTTGCCTTATAGAAACAAAAAAATAAGAGTGTAAGAATATATGTGCTGAAATATTTATTGCAGTTGTATCAGCAGAGTTGTTTTGAAGGGGAGTGAGATGGCTGGCTTTAAGCAGTTTGGCACAATTGTATCCAAAAAGGGGAGAATATATTTTCCTGCATCTTATTCTCCCTTTCCCTGCCCCCTAGGTGGCAAATAACATAAAATAACCATTTTAATAAAATAAATAATTCACTTATACCAGTCACCATTTTGAAGTGAACAATTCATTTGTACAACCTTATGGCTTATTCTTATAAGAGGAGCAAACCTTTTCCTCTAAGTATCTCCTAGAAAAAGTCTCTTATTTCTTTTAGGCTCAAATTGGGTGAATTTTATATATTAATTGGTTCAGAAACTCAGACCTAAGTTAATGGAAGTTTCTAAATGTGCTCTATGGAACCCTGGAGGTCCCTGATAACATTTCATGGATTGGGAAGGTCAAAACTGTTTTCATGGTGATACTGGGATATGAATTTTCCCTTTTCACTATGTCTACATTTTACTAAGTGGTGGAAAACAGTACTGAGTAAAACTGCTGGTGCCTTACCACAAATCAGTGGCACCAGACTGTATTGGTAGTCATCATATTCTCCACTGCTACACACTTGCAGTTAATTTCACTTAAGAATATCTTAACTACATAGTAAAAAATCATGTTTTCAATTTTATTGTCTTGAACCTTTGAGTACATGTCTTTTTTTTGTATTCTGTATGAGAAATGGGAGGTCCACAGTGAGGCACTTTTGCTGGATACCAGAATTCACTGATTAACACAAGGAGAGGTACTTGTGTAGTTGTTTGAATTAAAAACCCATTTTTTCCTTGAAATACCATTTTTACTCTCTTGAGAGGATAAGTCACAGGCAAACTATGCTAATTCAGATTTGGGTATCTTACAGCTATTGTCTCAGAAATGAACAAAGTATGTCATCACTTCAAAGAAAACTGACAGTATTTTTTGCCAGTGATAAAATTTAAGATTTCAAGCAAAAGTCAGAATTTTGAAAAATTTTTATCTGCCACCCAATACTAAATAATTTTTCTTTTAAGATTAATGGTAATATTAATTGGTGTGGTTTTTTTTTTGGATACTGCATAATGAAGTGTGCCAACATGTAGAAAATCTGCATAATTCAGTGAACCAACATTTCCCAAATGACCGATGCATGATGTTAAAAAATTAAGCTAGATAATAGATTTGTAAAACTCTAAATGCCACTTTTTTCACTAATATTTTCTATTCCAGAAAATATAGTTACTTTCTGAAAAATGCATGAGAGAATGAGAATGGAAAAGAATAAATAATGGCTTAGTATTATAAATATAGTTTGACCCTGAGAGTTCCCTGGAAGGGTCTCAAGGTCCCTCCAGCAACCCCTTAGATCACACGTTGAGAAATGATGCTCCAGAGAAATTCATCAGTACGTCCAAGGAGACAAAAAGTATAAGCCTGTTCATTGCAGCATTGTTTGTACGATAGTAAGAAATAGGCAACAGCCTTAAAATCCAACCATAAGAGTAATGGACAAATGAAATATATGCTTTTCCAGTGTAATTTTATGCAGCATTAGAAGTTCTGGTATAAGTTAACATTTAGAGATATTAAAAACAATGTCTAGTAAATAAAACAAGACTGAAAATATGTACCTATGACATTTTTATAAAATATTTTAAAACATATAAATCAAATAGTATATGCTTTTTGCAGATAAGCACAAATATTTTTAGAAGAATTGGAAAAGAGTGTGCTGGAACGATACACACCAAACCCATGTTAGTTGTTACGTCTGAAGAGTTAGAGCACAAGATTGTAGACTAGTTTTATCTGTCATGTTTTTCTTTACAAAATTAAAGAGTAGGAGAAAATATGACTGAATATTAATAGTTGTTAACTTGAAGATTTGGAAATGTGAGTGCTTATTAAGCACTTTGTTGTGTTTTCAGTTTCAAAAAAAATCTCAAACATGATTAAAAAATTATAACAGGTTTTTATATTGTGCTTTAGTGACAAGAAAGTAGATTTAAACAAATTTATTTTTAAAAGGACTGTCTCTGTTAAATTTTAGCAGTTATTACCAGTGGAATTATCTTTGCCCACTTAGTTAGCAGCCAAAAACATAATAGTATATGGTGTGGAGAGAGATTGGTGCAATGTAGTTTTTTTTTTTTTTTTTTTTTTTTTTTTGGAGTCTCACTCTGTCGCCCAGACTGGAGTGCAGAGGCCGCTCCCGGCCACCGCAGCCTCCACCCGCTGGGCTCCGGCGATCCTTCCGCCTCAGCCTTCCGAGTAGCCGGAATTACAGGCGTGCGCTACCTCGCCCGGCTGATTTTTTGATTTATTGTAGAGATGAGGTCTCGCTGCCCAGGCGGGTCTCGAACCCGCGGGCTCAGGGCAATGTAGTTTTAAATCTTTCTAGTTGCATTGTCAGGGAGGACAGGCCTTTTTTATTATTTTTATTTTTATTTTTTTGAGTTGGAGTCTCACTGTGTCATCCAGATAGGAGTGCAGTGGCCGCTCCCGGCCACTGCAGCCTCGACCTGCTGGGCTCTGGCAATCCTTCCGCCTCAGCCTTCCAGGTAACTGGAACTACAGGCATGTGCTACCACGCTCAGCTAATTTGTTATTTATTGTAGAGATGAGGGCTTGCCAAGTTGCCCAGGTGGGTCTCGAACCCGTGGGCTCAGGCAATCCACTCACCTCAGCCTCCCAAAGCGTGGGATTACAGGCTGAGCCACTGAGCCCAGCAGACAGGCCTTTTTTAAAAGCACTTTTAAAAACTGTTTTAAGAGCCATAAAATGATTCATTATCTTTGATTTGTTTATTCTACTTTTAGGAATCTCTCCTAAAAAAACAGGTTCACAGTTCAAAATACAGGCATGAAAGCATTGTTTTGGAAAATTATAGATGCCTAAGCATTTACCAATAGAATAATGGTTACATTAATTAGTTTACTTGATATCTAACTATTAAACAAATAAATTTAAAAATTGGGTAGCATTGTGGAAAAATGTGAAAGGTACGTTTAAAAATGCGATATGAAGTTATCAGTCTATTTTCATTGTAATTATTCAAATTAAGGGATCATGTCTAATTATTTTAGTGTGTTGAAATTGTGTGCAACTTTTTTACTCCTTCACTACTTTAAAACTTTTCAGTGTTATTTTAATTCTAAAGTACTATGAGTATTTATTTTTAATATTTGATAATTTTTTAAAAATAATACTTTGAACTTGTCTTCTCCAAATCTCAGTTCCTCTCCTAACTCTCTAAACCTTAGGCAGAAATAAAACGTCTTCAAGAAGCCAATAAGGCAGCTCGGAAGGAAAGACAACTGATTCTTAAACAGCAGGAGGAGATAGAAAGGATCCGACAGACCACTATAAAACTGCAGGAGAAGTTAAAGTCTGCGGGGGAGAATAAATTGGTAAATTGCATGAAATTATTATTTCTTTTCTGTTTCATATTGCTTGCTAATATCTAACTCTGCTTCACGTTCTAGTACAATATTCATTTAAGCAGTATGATATGATTAATGAACTAAGATAAAGTTCTGTGTGTATACCATAGTCCATTTTCTGTTGCTATAGGTGAATACCTGAGATTGGATAATTTATAAAGGAATAAAATTTATGTCTTATAGTTGTGGAGCCTGGAAAGTCTAAGGTCAAAAGGTCACATCTGGTGCGGGCAGTCTTGCTTGTGGGAACTCTCTGTAGAGTCCCCACCACATGGCGAGGGGACAGAGTATGCTGGCTCAGTTCTCTCTTTCCCCTCTATAAATTGTAGCCACTAATGGTGCACTCTCATGGCCTCATCTAATTTTGATTACCTCCTGAAAGCCACCTCTCAAATGGCGTAGTCAGATTTCCCACCTTCTTAATACTGTTGCAATGAGGATTAAGATTCAACATGAGTTTCACAGGGGCAAACATTAAAACCATAGCAATGTCTTAATGTATACCGAGAGTTTTAATTTTTTCCCATGGAGTTTTCAAGTTTTGAAAGGGGCACATGATTCTTATACAATATTACTTTAGTTTAAAATGTTTTTCACTTATAAACTAAATAGGGACATAGAATCAATGGAAGAGACTATTTTGCTCTTTATATTATACTTATTTCAACTGTCCAATTTTAATATAATGATACAAGATTCCAAGGAGATATTTAGACAAAAACGAAATTTGGATTTATTCCAAGGTACTGTAAAATGTCAGTACAATTTTGAAAAATCAAGACTGTATAGCACTATAATTTTTTTAATTCCTGATAGATTTTTTAAATATACTTTGTTTTGATATGATCTCAAACGTATAGAATATTTCAAATGCAGTACAAATCTGTTGTCCTGTTTTATTTGAGAGTAAGTTGCCAACAAATTAACATTGATACATTACTACCATTTAATCTACAGACCCTTTAAATTTCTCCATTTGTCACAATAATTTTTTTATAGAAAAAGTCAGTTCAAAATCTAAAATATTACACATTTAGTTTTCATGTCTTGTAAGTCTCTTTCATTCTGGAAAATTTCCTTGAATCTCAGACCTTGATACAGTAGAGGATAACATGCCAGTTATTTTGTAGACTGTTCCTTAACTTAGGTTTGATGTTTCCTCATGATTAGTTGCAGGTAGTGTTCCTTTGGCAGATGTATCACAGAAGCAATGCTGCATTCTTCTTTTGCATTCGACCAAGTGGCACATGATTTTGATTGATTCCATTACTTATGATGTTGACTTGATCATTTGTTTAAGTTGGTGTCTACTAGACATCACTGTGTAGTCACCTTTGTTCTCTTTATAATTAATAAGTACTTTGCATGGAGGTATTAGAGATTACTTTACATAAATATCTTGTTCTTCATCAAACTTTAATTTATTCTCTTATCTATATTAATATTAAGTCATAGATTCTTGTTTTACTCTGTGCTATACTCTATTTCTATAATTAATTAGTTGATGCTCACTTTGTCTTGTGCAAATTTCTGTGTCCTTTTGATATATCCTATCAGGCTTGAGCTCGTCCATGCTGAAACATGATGTTTCAGGGTCATTTTGTAATTTTCCTGCCCTAGACTTCAAATCAGCCATTTTCCAAGGAGGAAAGTTATTTAGAAACCAAAATCTGGTGCTGGACATGGTCATTGCTATTCAGATTTTGCTCCTTCTGGGTAACAAATCTAGAAAATATATAAGTGTATGTAGATATAGATAAACACATTTTACATGTGTATTTATGTATAGTATATGAAGTTATGAGTGCATACTGATATTTCCAGTTCCACTCCAGTACCACAAATTTCTTTCTAGTTTTCTCTATTTTGGAACTCTCTTCTTTGACAGATAACCAGTTAACATTTTCCTTAACATAGTTAATGATTTGATCATCCCTCTTATGCAACCCATCTGTCATAACCACTGCTACCCCTATCCAGGTGTGGATACCTTTCTCACTCCAAGTGGGCTCTGACTCTCCATGCTGTGCTAGTCCCATCCCCTTGCCCCTTTTCTGTCCGTGCCAGGAAGTTCTCTGTGGAATGCCCTCCTCTCTGTGTTTGGGCTCGTGACTTCATGTGTTGGACCAATTCCATGTGAACATTCTTGCCCCCCCCCCACTTGGGCTCTGATTTTCCACAGATGCTACCCCCTACATTAGATGCCCTCTTCATTCCACTCAGATTCTGAAGCCCCACTCATATCTTCCTGCCTCCCTCCATCCCCACATGAACACCTGCCTTAATCTGTCCTATCTAATGACTTTAGGAATGAACTGTTTAGGAAGAGGAAAGGAAAGGAGAAGGGTTCTGCTTTGTATTTTGTACAGAAAAAAACAAGTCATGATTATCCCTATCTGTCTTCCTGAAAAGTTAGGAGAATAAATGATTATTTGTGGAGAAGACAAGCAGTTAAAGTTTTGCTTTCTGGTCTTCAGAAATAATGTATCGATTACACCAAGTGCGATGGCTCACTTTGGGAGGCCAAGGCAAGAGGATTGCTTGAGTCCAGGAGTTCAAGACCAGCCTGGGCAACATAGGGAAACCTATCTCTACAAAAAACAAAACAAACACAAAAACTAGCAGGACATGGTGGTGCATGCCAGTAGTCCCAGCTATTCAGGAGGTTGAGCAAGGATCACCTTAACCTACAAGACTGAGGCTGTGGTGAGCCATGATCATGCCATTGCACTCCAGCCTGGGTGACAGAGCCAGATGCTGCCTCAGGAAGAAAAAAAAAAAAAAGAAAATGTATTGATTAGACTAATAGTTCCTACATGTTTTCATTGTACATTTTTTTATTTTGTGAAAATATCCTGTTCCATAAGGAATATTTAGAGGAAAAGGTCATCCCTCAGTATAATTGAAATAGATTTTATGTCTTCAATTCATTCTTTTTGTCTGTACATATATTTTTATATATAGTGTCTAAATTTATATTCCTTTTGACTGGCTCAACTTTAAAAACTCAGGACAGCCGGGCTCGGTGGCTCAGCCTGTAATCCCACGCCTTGGGAGGCTGAGGTGAGTGGATTAGCCTGAGCCTGTGGGTTCGAGACCCGCCTGGGCAGCTTGGTGAGACCTCATCTCTACAATAAATTAAAAAAATTAGCCGGGCGTGGTAGCACGTACCTATAGTTTCAGCTACTTGGAAGGCTGAGGCAGAAGGATCACCGGAACCTAGTAGGTCGAGGCTGCGGTGGCCAGAAGTGGCCACTGCACTCCAGTCTGGGTGACAGAGTGAGACTCCAACTAAAAAAAATAAATAAATAAATAAATAAAATCAGGACATTTAGAGACCACATTGTAATTATTTCATGTTGTGATATTCTTTCTTTCCCTCTCTCTCTCTCTAAATACACACACACACACACACACA